ACTATTGCGTCACTATTTAGTGACGCTTTAGTGACGAAAATATTGCGTCACTATTTGCGTCACTTTTGCGTCACCATTTTAGTGACGCAAATTTTGCGTCACCTTTTGCGTCACCTTTTCCGTGTTTTCTAGTAGTGATAGAGAGAGAGAGAGAGAGAGAGAAAGAGAGATAGAGGGAGGGAATTAAGAAAGACGAGGGTCTACAATTACCATAGTTACTAAGGGTTTACCAAAAAAAAAAACTTAGTTACTAAGGACTTCAATACTTACCTAATTTTGCACAAACCATAGGATAAGCCAAATGCAACTAAATTCATTCAACAAAAAAAACTATATCGGCCCAACAAAAAAATTTAACATACAAAAATAAGGGTCCAATATGAAACTAAGGCTCAATGAGAATTCAAGGCCCATAAACAGATTCAAAACCATTTGTGAGCCCGTGTTTGATTGACATGATTTTGCGTCAATTTCCAACGAGGGTTTATTCGGCTTCATATAAGTATGTATAAACGCAGATTCATGAAGTTACCATCTACTGAGAAAAGAGTCCAACGGTGATTCTTGTTTGTCATTAGATTTGAACAAGAGATATCTGAGACAAAATTACATTTGATACAACTCGGATGCATGAATCATAGACATCTACAGCAGGACCGTCTCAAACTTTTTCGGTGTCCTGTTCAATTTTATATAAAATAATTTAAAAATATTATTATTAAATTTAATTAATAATATAAAAAATTATAAATTTATATAATATATCAATTAGTAATTATTTTTTTATTTTAAAATTTATTAATTTCTATAAAAATATTTAATGATAATAAATAAATTTTGTAATATTTTTTATATATTAATGATAATAATAATAATTTTTTTAAAGAAATCTATATATAAATTTAAAGGTTTTATTATAAATATAACTATTTTTTATTTTAAAAATAAAATTGAATTTCTATTGATAATTTGAAAGGTAATTAATTTTTGAAATTTAATATTTATTTCTTTTTGTATACTAATTATATTTAAAATATTTAATTCTATAATTATTAATATTTAATGATAAGAATAATTAGAAAGATTTTTTTTAAAATGTGGGGCCCCAAAAATTAAGGGGCCTTGTTCCTTTGCACCTATTGAACTTGCTAATAGACGGTCCAGTTATATGAATATATTAAATCACCTAGCAAACGCAAATACTCACAGATTATGCCACTTTATGGAGCCCGAGTGGTTGTAATTGGTTGAGAAAAGGTTGGATTGTTTTTAATCCAAGACTCATATATTAAGCAGCGGGTGAAAAAGAAAAGATACAATTTAAATGTTTGTTCGGTTAAGAGTGGGATGTATAGTTGAGCCAAACATTGTGTGAATCAATCTTTAAAAAAAATTACAAAATAAGATTGTTATTTATTACTGTCTATAATTATTTTATTTATTTTTTCGGTTGGATTAGTGAAGGATATTATATATATACATGTATGTTGATACGTTCACAACGACAAGCAAAAGGTTTTTGTCTCTTCATCAGCCAAGAACCAGCCATGCATATACAACCGAGAGTGCACAATTTGACCTAATTACACATAAGGAAATACAGATCGTAATATGTAAGTTTGCCATACAGGATTCATCAGTGGGTAGCCGAGTGGCGAAAGGGTGTTGCTCTCTAAACCCCGGTCGTGAATTCGAAACCAACTGATGGGAAGGAGGGGTGTATTTAAGGTGTTGCTCTCTGGACCCTTAAATATACTCTAAAAACTGCTCCCGAACCTGAGGGGATATAGGTTGGGCCGAAAGCCCGGGTGAATGTCTCGGTTATAAAAAAAAAAGTTTGCCATACAGGAGTGATACACAATATCTCCTCATTATATGTATGTATATATACAAGATCATCTCGCTAGTTATCAATAATAATTATGATCAGCTATGTGTTAGATTGATTTATGTGGAGGTTACTAATTCAATATTGTGAATGACGTAAATAGTTTTTTTTTTCCATTTAAAATCATTATGGTCACAATGAACTAATTCGTATTTGTCGAGTTAAAGAAGTTATAAATATTAATTTGTTTCCTTTAGTTGCATTCCCTCTTTGAATGATCCGAGTGTTTAGTTTTATCCCCGAATCATTTCTACTTTTTTTTGGTCCGAATGGTTCGTGTTTATATTATGAAAGTGAGTCTTTTTTTACACAGGGTGACAGTGAACTTTTCGCTTAGGGGCAATTAATAATCCATACTTGCCATGATATAATAAAACAAAAGAAAAGAACAATGTTCGAAATACATTTACTTCAACCCCAATGAACTTTATAGTCATTTAATTGTAATTTCGAAAATAATATATATAGTCAGAATTTGTATCTTTTTTCCTCCCAAGATGGTCACGTGGGGAATATATATGACTAGAAAATAAAGAATATTGAAGTCTCTTAGGTCGTTGGGTGAGTATGGACTATTATATATGTATGATATGCATCTAGTCAAAAATAAATTCAAAGGTCACATCTCACACGAATAATTGACCTTTATTAACTTGGTCCAAATTGGTTGATTATCTAATTAACATAATGAGTTTTTACTTATTTTTTCTTTTTTTTTCTATCATAATACCCTTCTTTTCATCCTAATAGCCTTTATTTCTATTCAGTTAAACACTTGATTCTTATTATAATCCCAATCATGAACAAAGAAATGCAAATAGATTTCAGTCACAATCTCAGTTACTACTTTAACTATATTTAATAATTAGCAGGGTAATTATATACGCATCAAATTGGTTACTGTAACCAGAGATGTGTATTATTTTATATAAGCAAAAACTGAACAAATTAATATTAGAATCGAATATATGATATTAATGTATATTGTATATATAATTGATGTTTTCATGGCTTCCTAAAGTCCATATACATTTATAACGCCAATGTAACGATTGTGAAAGCAGGAGAGATTTTGGGAGTTAGTGCAATTTTTTTACAACGAACAAGTTAAATATTGTAGTAAAATGGAGGATTAAACTGGGTGAAACCAAAATCAATTGCAAGAACCGATTACTTATGTCATCCCACAAAATCCTCATTTCCCTAGTTTCTCCTTCCAAACCCACGAGAACCTCCACACCTTAAAGATGAGTAGATACATATATAATATTTCTAAACGAAATACTCTTTAAATTTGTTTTAATTAAAGTATTTGTTTTTTTTTATAATTTTAGTCGAAATTTCTCACTCATTGTACCTGCCAAGTACTCCTTCCCGTACCTCCAACACATCATCTCTCTCATCCGAAATTCCAAATTTACCCTCGCCTCTTTTATATTTCTCCCCCGCACCAATTGTTCTTCTCCCATTCCTCTTCATCGTAGTCTTCCTCTCTCTCTGTATCTCTCAGCAAATTTTCTCTTTTTTTTTTGGGTAATCGCAAATTTTCTCTTTTCCAAAAAAAGTTCGAATCTTTAGGGGTTTCCCCCCGACTCCGTCTAATCATGAAGCACCTTATTCGCCGTCTATCCCGAGTCGCCGACTCAGCACAATACAGTCTCCTCCGTTCAGATTCTCGGCGACTGAGTCGGCTGTCGGGGTCGTCAATCCGATCTCTGGTTCGCCAAACCAAGAAGGCCACATCGTCGGTTCCACAGGGACACGTGCCGGTCTACGTGGGTGAGGAGAGGTTGCAGACGGCGATCCGGTCAGCAGCTCGGAGAGAGAAGAAGGCGAAGTCGTCGGTACCGCAGGGACACGTGCCAGTGTACGTGGGGGAGGAGATGGAGCGGTTCGTGGTGAGCGCGGAGGTGATGAACCACCCGGTTTTCGTGGGGTTACTGAACCGGTCGGCTCAGGAGTACGGGTATGAGCAGAAGGGAGTTCTACACATACCCTGTCACGTGTTGGTTTTCGAAAGAATCATAGAGTCTCTGCGTCTGGGCCTGGCTTGGTCACATGACCTCCAGGATCTCATTGGTGACGGCGCCATCTGATGAAACAGCTTGGAGAATCGTTCTTTAGTTAGAGAGGCAGAGTAAAAGATAGATGTGTTTGTTTTTTTAATCAGATACAGGCAAAAGTCGGATGACGTATAGGTGTAAATACACGTTTTATTCAATCTGATTTGAAGGTGGGGCTCTGTGAAGAAATCGAAGTCAGATTTTTTTTTTTCCCTCTTCAGTGTTAGAATCTGATGTTACTGGAAAAAAGAGGTAAAATCCAGAAAGGGGTGCGAGGATTTAAGTACTGTGATGAAGCGAAGCCGTCGACTTGTCTGTTTTCCCCTCTATGGACCACCGAGGGCAAATATGTATTTTTAACAGAAATCTCGACAATCTTTCTTCTGTTATATTGTAGCGATTATTATCAGGGAACATATTCAGTCTGTGTGATTCTAGACGTTAAATTTTGGGTTCAAGATCAAAATGTCAGCAGCCTTTTTATTCAGTTTCAGTTCTGGGGAGTACGCACTAGTCAACTCCCTATATACTGCTTATAGTCTAAAATTTGTCGTTCGATCTATTACTGTCAACGAGAACCATTTCTCACTAACCATATCTATTCGGTTTTGAGTGGCATTCTAGGTCCTGAATTATTGTTTGGATGAACCGATCATCATGAAACAAAACAAAACGAAAAGGGAGTTGAAACGGTCCGGATGAAAGAAGGGTTGGTTATGGATGTGTGTGTGTATATATATATATCATGAAATCATCGATCAATATTGTTTCGCCTTACTCACACGCTGTCATCTTTTATAATTTGTTTCACCCTCACCAACCAAACCTCTTATTGCAATGCGTATTGTAATTTGTAATTATACATTTTCTTATATAATTTAAATTTTGTCTTGCTTTGTTTTTAGCATCTAACAATAAAATCAAAACAATCATCCATATATCTCAGATTGCAAAATCATATAGGTACACACTCGCATTGTTAGATGCATATCTCATCATTAGCTAGCTCTCCCTATTATTCCGAATCCATAGGAGGGTAACATCTCAACTAATGGATCATGCATGATCCCCTTCTCATATGAATATCTTCTAGTAATATATATATATATATATATATGTATGTATGTTTCACCAAAAAATAAATAAATGTATGTATGTATGTATGTATGTATGTATGTATGTATGTATGTATGTATGTATGTATGTATGTATGTATGTATGTATGTATGTATGTATGTATGTATGTATGTATGTATGTATGTATGTATGTATGTATGTATGTATGTATGTATGTATGTATGTAGTGTCCTTTCCCGGTAGATTCATAGGATGAATTGTTTTTCTCTCCAGGATTGTTTTCTTCATCCATGTCACTTTCGTCACTCTCTTCTCTACTTCCACTGGCCACTGGTTGACTACCTGCCATCCCTGCTTCAGCCGCGTTCACTGCTTCAGCCGTGTGGAGATCAGCCACACCAAGCATCAAGTCCTGTGGTTCCATATTCATTTAGTCACGTAACTAAAAAACAAATGCAGGGAAGATATTAATTTTTTCATATGAACAGATCATACATAAAACATAATTACCCAAGAGGGTTGTCATATAACCAAAAATTAAAATTACTCTTTTTTTCAATTATAGTGTAGACATTTTTCTTATGGTTTCAAGGATACCACGACCACAAGAAGAGATACAATACAGTTTTTTCTCTCTCCAAAATTCATTGATTCATTCCATTTTATGTTCCTCAGTGCACGACATATTATCATCACTAGCTATATACCTGCATTAAGCAGAAACAAGGACGACCGTACCTCTCAATTACGTCAGAATCACAACAGTCTTTAGTTTTCTTGACTATTTAACTTGGCATCTCCACTGTAAACGTTTTTGGTACGGAATTGACTTTTTTTTTCTGGGCATACATTGACACCATCATGCAAATGATGCAAAAGAGCAAGAGATGTGAGAAAGTTACCATTTCGATAAAAGGAGTTTCGGGCCAAGTTCGGATACTTTGTAGCGACCCGATTTTTCGTGGCCCATGAGGCCCATATACTTCAGTTTTTCAGCAGGCCCAAAACTGTATTATTTATCCGTGCAGCGGGTTAGCTGCTACGGCTACGGACATATAGGAGGTTTTCAACTTTTAAGTAGTTCTAGGGTGTCAATTGTGGCCCAAGGCTCGAAGTCCGGCCTATCCCAGTCCAAAATATAATAGTAGGTTTCGGACCGAGATATTGAGGTCCGAATATTTTTGGGTTTTTGGAACGGGTTCAATTCGAATTTCGGACTCGATTCAGGCCGGCCCGAAAAAATCTAATTTTTTTTTAAAAAATGTCTTAAGAAAAAAAAGAAAAAAAATATTAATCGTACGGGCCGGCCCGATCCGGTCCGGACTGGTTCAAACCTTGTATCTATAGAATCGGATTTGGTGATATAGACCCTAAAATCTACCCGAATCCGAGTGCGAAACCCTCGGCCTGATCGGGCGAGGCCGGCGCAATTGACACCCCTCTTGCCTCACATCAGGTAAGGTTTGGAAAAAGAAAGTACACAGGTTTTCGCGGAGAGTCCTTGTTAGCTTGTTTGATCAAAGATCAGCCGAAGTTAGGGTCTGAGAGAGCGGCGATTCTTGAGATGGAGGAGGAAAACAAAGAGGTGAAGTCATTTAAGGATTTGGGATTGCGGGAGGAGTTGGTGCAGGCATGCGATAGATTGGGATGGCAGAAGCCGTCGAAGATTCAGGCAGAAGCCATCCCCTTCGCTCTTGAAGGTAGATTCTGTCTGCTCTTGATGTGGTTTTGGTTCCGATTGTGCTGTTTGTTTTGGTTCAATTGATGCATTAATTCTCTGAGATAGTGAGATGTCGTCACTAATAGAGCATGCCCATTTAGCGATGACGCATTGTTTGATTCGTTATCCTTCTTGTTTGTCTGATTGGCATTGTTGCGTTGTAACTTGGTTAATTAGTTATTGAATCTCTCTTGTTTGGTGTTACTCTTGAATGAAGATAATCTGGATGTCTTGAATCTCTGGACAGGGAAAGACGTGATCGGACTTGCTCAAACTGGTTCCGGCAAAACTGGAGCTTTTGCGCTGCCAATTTTGCAAGCACTCCTGGATTACGTCAATAATCCAGAACCTAAGAAAGGGCGAAACCCCGACCCAGCATTCTTCGCCTGTGTTCTATCTCCAACTCGGTATGTATGTATGATTTGTGAACCAAGTCTCTTGTGTTTACCATAACTGTTGTTGTTCTTATTTGACTCGGTTTCCTTTCTCTGCTGTTTTCTTCTTGTTTCCCAGAGAGTTAGCTATTCAGATTGCTGAGCAGTTTGAAGCTCTAGGATCTGATATAAGTCTTAGGTGTGCTGTGGTAAGCTGCTGCTTCAATCATGTTTACTTCAGTGGTATGTTAGTACTGCAATGCCAATCAGTGAATATTTTAAGTTGTGAATTTTCTGATCTTCAGCTTGTTGGAGGCGTAGACAGGATACAACAAGCTATTGTACTTGGGAAAAGGCCTCATGTCATCGTAAGCTCCTTTTCGGTTGCGATCTGCTTCCAAGCTGGGATCAGCAATAAAATCTTTGTTTTAGCTTTCTCAAGATCTCATAGATTAAGTAAATTTCATTACCAAGTTTGTGACAAACAGTAAACTTGTTTCTCTGCTGTTGTGTAGGTTGCAACCCCTGGTCGTCTTTGGGACCATATGTCTGATACAAAAGGCTTTTCTCTGAGGACTTTAAAATATCTGGTAAGTAGCGTCACTTTGAGAGTATGATATTGATCACACCTTGTCTCTAGATAAGTGACATCATATGTCTGATTCTTTTGTCAGCATCATAACACTATGGGCATCTAGACTGATTTTTGTTTCATTAAGGCTTGCTATATTGTTTCATTCAGCTTCTGTAAATAATTCACGTACTCATTTTTGTTGTTGTCCTACATAATGTTTAATTTTCATATATTCTTCATTCTGCTTCTGCACATACTCATTTATGTTTTTGTGCTAGATATATTGTTTCATGCATGTTTCTTTTTTTTTTCTGTTGAGAAAGATCGTTCCAGTCTTTCTTGTTCTCTTAACTATCTTCTGCATAATTAATTCTCATACAGGTTCTAGATGAAGCAGACAGACTGCTAAATGAGGATTTCGAAAAATCCCTTGACATGATTTTGGAAGAGATCCCTCGGGAGCGGAAAACATTCCTCTTTTCTGCTACAATGACCAAAAAGGCATGACACTTATACAGATACACGTCTGATGCTTATTCATATGCACACAAATGCCAAATGTTAAAATGGAAGGAAGGAAACATATCTTTTACCCTACTATGTGTTGGTTGACCTATCTTAGTCAAGGAAATGATGGATTCTATGTATTCATTCATCCTGAATCTGAGCTAATTCATTGAATGAGATGCATGAGTTTGTTTTGTCATTGTTGCAGGTCCGGAAGCTCCAAAGAGCATGTCTAAGGAATCCTGTGAAGGTCGGGGAATACGGCATTTGATTTCCTCATTTCTCATTAATGCATCCATAGCACAATATATGACAACTGTGTTTTCTTCCTCCAGATTGAAGCCGATTCCAAATACTCTACAGTTGAGACTCTAAAGCAGCAGTACCGATTTGTTCCAGCCAAATATAAAGTAACCTTCTTTCCATCATAGGGCCCCCCATATAGTAATATGAAACCAAAGTTAGCTGTTTTAGCTAATGATCTTTTGTCTGGTCTCTGGTGAAAGGATTGCTATCTTGTATACATGCTGAGTGAAATTTCTGGATCCACATCAATGGTCTTCACCCGAACATGCGACAGTACTCGCTTTTTGGCCTTGATGCTCCGAAACCTTGGTTTTAGAGCCATTCCTATCAGTGGTCAAATGACCCAGGTGAACGCTAGATTGCTAGTTTCAACTGTTTCAAAAGATATTCTGTCAACTGAAAGAAACTGCCAGTCCTTTTGTTGCATTGACCTTCTTATCTTTCCACCAAGTTTTTCATCTCACTCTTCTTTTCTTGGAACTATTCCAGTCAAAGAGATTAGGAGCCCTGAACAAGTTCAAAGCTGGGGAGTGTAACATCCTTGTTTGTACTGATGTGGCTAGCCGAGGGCTTGATATTCCATCAGTTGATGCGGTTATTAATTATGATATTCCGATGAACTCAAAGGTAAATTATATTGTCCTATGGGTTATTGATTCACCATTTCATGTTCTTGAAATTGTGTTGTCGTTTTTCCCAACCTTTCATTGTTATTATAGGATTACATCCACAGAGTTGGTAGAACTGCACGTGCTGGACGATCTGGAGTTGCAATATCTCTGTTAAACCAGTATGAGCTGGAATGGTACTTACAAATAGAAAAACTAATTGGTTAGTGCAATGCGAGAGAATTTGGTCCAAGGATGGTATTTCACAATGATAGCCAGATTGATAGAATGATTCTCAACATATTTGTCAGGCAAGAAATTACCAGAGTACGCAGCAGAAGAAGAGGAAGTTTTGTCACTGTTGGAGAGAGTCACGGAAGCCAAAAGATTATCACAAATGGTATTTTGCTTTGCACTATAATAATACGTCATTTTCCTTGAGGACTTTCTTCTCTTTCAAGTTATGCTGCTACCTAGATAAACTCGCCTTGTCTTGTATGATGAAGGAGGAGATTTGTGGGTTGTTACGATTGTTTTTTTGGATAATTGGGTATCCTGAGCTAAGGTCTAGACTAATCCAGGGATCGGAAGCTAGCCATTTGATTGTGGATTATATATGCTCTCTCCCCAAACTTGAGGTTCGGATTTGGGGCGGGGTAGAAGCTTTGCGGTCCTTTCACCGGTCAAACTACCCAAGTTTGGGTTGTTACGATTGTTACTTTGAATTTCATCGAAAGGAGGTTTTCGCGCGCATATGATGTGCTTTCGGAACATTAATTTATTTCAAATCCTTTTGTATTGTATTTCTGCAGAAAATCAAAGAGTCAGGAGGTAAAAAGAGGAGAAAGGGAGGAGAAGATGAGGGCGAGACAGAGAGATTCTTGGGAACAAGGGACAAGAAATCATCAAAGAAGTTTAAAAGATGAACGATGCGCGTTGTAACAAAGGCACATCTCAGTGACCAACCCACCAAAATTTTGATATCATGGACACCTAACCTAACAAGTTTCAAAACCTGTCTCTTGTCTGATTTATGAACATTGTCTGTCAGATCAAAAACCTTGTATAAAGCTTTTTCTCGTGTTAATGTTTTTTCGCCTAGGAAATGGTAGTCTTCTTTCTTAATAAAAAAAATGCTCAAATGCTCGTGTGTTCCTAACCAATGACTGTTTAGAACAATACCACGAAAGTAGTGTTGTTGTCACATTACATACGATAATGAGTTATCCTCCTCAAGGCATCAACAAGGGAGAGATTCCTCTCCTCTACCTCTTGTCTGTATTTTCATGTTGTCAGCAAAGTGTTACGTCAATATTCTAATAAAACAATCACGACGATGTATAAAGGGGAATTTCACACAAAGAAAGAAGCTCCAAGTTCAAGATCTTCCAATTTTAAAACACTTTTTCAAACCGTAAAAAACAATGGACCAACTGAGACAGATTCTCGGTTCGTCTTTCTTGCAGAACCACCACCACCTCTCCGCCCTGGTGGTTTGCCTTTTTTTGCCCCTTCTTCTGTGTGTTGTTTACATCATGAAACCGAGAGAAAAGCTCAATCTCCCTCCTTCTCCTCCGAAGCTTCCTATAATTGGAAACCTCCACCAGTTTGGCACCTTGCCTCACCGCTCTCTGGCTGCCTTATCCCAAAAGTATGGGGGACTCATGCTTCTGCAGCTGGGGAGCTTCAAAACTCTGTTTGTGTCGTCAGCAGAAGCCGTGGAAGAGATAATGAAGAAACACGATGTTGTCTTCTCCAATAGACCTTACCTGAAGGGACAGAGCGACTTCATGTACGGAGGGCATGATGTCGTTTTTTCACCCTACGGTGATTACTGGAGACAGGCCAAGAAGATCTGTGTCATGCAACTTCTTAGCCAGAAGATGGTCAGAGAGTTACACGTAAGAGCACTCAATTTCTTTTAGTTTGATATCGATTCTTTGTTGAGAAACTGCTTAACGTCATGATCTTGGCCATGATTTCAGCCAGTACGAGCACAAGTGGTCAAGGAGATGCTCAAAAAGATCGAGAGGTGCCGTGTTCGGGGATCTCCGGTTGATTTCAACGAATTGTTCTATGTGACGGCGAATGAAATGATATGGAGATCGGCAACAGGGGGTGGTGGAGAGTTCAGTGAGCCCTACATGAAGATCGTGAGAGAAGCTCAGAGGCTTGCAGGCCTCATGAGCTTTACGAGTATGTTTTCCTACCTGCAGTGGATTGACAATCTCACTGGATTCAAAGCCTCGATGAAAAGGGTTTGTGAGAATTTGGACCAGCTTATGAATCGATTGATCGAGCATGGAAGAAGGAACAATGGTGGTAACAAGGGTTTTGTGAGCATTCTTCTTCATCTTCAGAGGGAAGGGAAGCTTGACATCGCACTTGGCGAGAAGGACGTCAAAGGAATTCTACAGGTATGCAACACATATGTATATATATATATATATATATATATATATATATTTACAAAGTCATTCTAGTATATCAATCAAGTTTCATCATCGAAAAACAGAGCTTATTCACGGGAGCAACAGACACGGTCCCATCGACGTTGGAGTGGATAATGGCGGAGATAGTTCAGAAGCCAAAAGTGACGCGCAAAGTACAAGAAGAGATCACAAGTGTAGTGGGAGACAGAGAAGAGATCAGAGAATCAGACATAGAACAGCTTCATTATCTGAAACTGGTTGTGAAAGAAGCGCTGAGAATACACGCCTTCGGCCTGTTTCCCCGGGAGACATCGGAAGCCGTGAGATTGTGCGGCTACGACGTGCCTTCCAAAACGAGGGTTATGATTAACAACTGGGCGGTTCAACACGATCCCACGATCTGGGAGAACCCACTTCAGTTTCTTCCAGAGAGATTCGAAGAGCCCCTTCACAACTCCTCCAAGTACATCCCCTTCGGGTTTGGTCGGAAGACCTGTCCTGGTGCTGCCTACGCTGTTTCCTTTGCCGAGAATGTTATCGCTAATCTTCTCCATCGCTACGACTGGACTTTGCCCGGTGGTCTTGATCCCTCCAACCTCGACTTGTCCGAGAAATTCGCCGTCGCCATTTACAAGAAGGACCCTCTTAAACTCGTCCCTGTTCTACGCCATCCTCCCCCATGCTCTGGAACTATTCCGTGAACACATACATGTCAATGCAATATATGTCTTTTAACGAGAGCTTGCAAGTTTAAGAATTTTTATAAAATATTTTTGCAAATTCAGAGTTTTTTAAAATCGCTATTTTCTGTAAAAAAATATATTAAAAACATACACAAATCCTTCGAAAGCTATCGAATTTTCCATAACTGTTAACGACGTTAGTCGTCTGACGGAATTTGATCACGATGTCTCTTCGTCGAAATTTTGACTACAATCCGAAACAAGTAATATATCACCTACAATGACCATTAAATATTAACTTGCTGCCACAAGTAAAAGATTTAACTTCAACACATGGCTACGGTGTTGGATGAGATGTGGTTTTCGGAGTTTTTGGATTTTAAAAACTGAAAAAACCAACAATTTTTTTTTTAAATTTTAGTTTTCCTAAAAATCTGGAAATCTATTTTATTGAAAAAATCAACTAAAAATCAAAAGCTACAATTTTTTAGATTTACAAATTTATAAAATCCAAAAACCAAAAACCAAAAACTAAAAACTAAAAACCAAAAACTATAGCCAAAAACCCAAAATAAAAGCCACTACCAAAGCTACATCTTAATTAAAAAAGTATATATACACTGTAGCATCTAAAATATTATTTTTTAAAAAAATAGAACGAGTTAAGTACGATTTGATCTTATAATAAAAGAAAACAAATATGGATCCAATGAGCAGAAGGGAAACTACAAAATGAGAACTTAGAGAATCATACAAGTCAAGATGCTTCGAGCTCTTTGATTTGCTTATAATCTGAATTTCATTTCGTCAACAAAAAAAAAAACAACAAAAAAAGATGATCAAGCAATGGTTTTCTTCCTATCAAAGCCTCTTCATAATTTTGTTATTACTAGTCTCGGTTCTCTATATATTCTTAACCAAACGCACTTCCAAAGCACTGAATCTGCCACCGTCCCCACAATGGCTGCCGGTGATCGGAAACCTCCTCCAGATCGGACCACTCATTCACCGTTCGTTAGACGCCTTATCTAAGAAACATGGCCCTCTAATGCTCCTCAGGCTCGGTAGCTTCCCCACCCTCGTTCTCCAATCCTCCCAAGCTTTCCAAGAGATCATCAGAATCCACGACCCAGATTTCTCAAACCGTCCCATCTTCTACGCCTCCCACCTCTTTGCCTACAAGGCACGAGACATTGTCTTCTGCCCTTATGGTGATGCCTGGAGGCAATCCCGCAAGATCTGCCTTCTCCACCTCCTTAGCAGCAAAATGGTCAAAGAACTGCGTTCCATTCGAGATGAAGAGATTGCGGAAATGGTCAGAGAGATCGACAGGTTGATAGCCAGAGGATCCAAGACGGTGGTGAATATCAACGTATTGTTATACGATTTGGCTGTTAACGTGATCTGTACATCGGCTGCTGGCGGTAAATCCTATGTGGCGGCTTACAAAGCACTGTTGAGGGACGCTCAGAAATTAGCGGCCCAGTTTTGCTTCGAAGATGTATTTCCATGGCTGGGATGGGTGGATGGCTTGACAGGCTACAGAGCAAATGTGAGACATTCTTTTGGGGATTTAGATCGTCTGTTGGAGCAGATAATCCGTGACCAATCCGAAAAAATTGCAGCGAATGTTAAGCCTCATAGGAAGAACTTTGCGTATGCACTTGTACGGTTGCAGAGAGAAGGGAAGCTTGACATTGAGCTCGACCTTGATAACATCAAAGGAATCTTACAGGTAAATAAAGTTGGTCGCAGTCTCTATTTTGGTTCTGCATTGACAGAAGGTGATCATCTGTGTTGAATGCGCAGAGCATGTTGGCGGCGGCAACAGACACAGTTCCATCGAACATGGAGTGGGCAATGGCTGAGCTCCTGAGGCATCCGAATGTGCTCCGGAAAGCGCAAGAGGAAGTGCGAAGAGTGGTGGGATCAGGCAAAGAGAGAGTAGAGGAAAGCGAAATCGAGCAGATGAAGTACCTGAAAAGCGTGATCAAAGAGTCTCTGAGATTGCACGGCTCTGGTATATACACGAGGGAGACTTCCAAAGACATCAAGCTCTGCGGGTACGACATCCCGGCCAAGACGAGAGTGATCATCAACAACTGGGCATCGCATAGAGACCCAACAATCTGGGAGAATCCAGAGGAGTTTATACCAGAGAGATGGGTTAGCTGCATGGACGGGGAAGAGATGAAAGGGAAGTACATTCCGTTTGGGTTTGGGAGGAGGATTTGCCCAGGAATGAATTACGCGGTGGCCATGATGGAAACACTAGTGGCGAATCTGCTGTATCTGTACGATTGGGAGCTGCCGGAGGGGGTGACGCCGGACAATATGGATGTGTCGGAGAAATTTGCGCAGGCCATTCACCTTAAACACCCTCTCATGCTCGTTCCTCTCAAGCCTTAATTCTTACCGCGTCCCAAATGTATTAAATAAAAGCGTGGGCTATGTGTATGTCTTTTGAAGGCCATCGACTGCTCTGCTTCCACGAAAAGTTGTCTGTCTCTTCCTCTCAATTCTACATCTCTCAGTTTCTACAATCTTTACAAAATTAAATAAAAAGAAAAAAAGCCTCACCCCCCCCCCCAAAACCCGAATCTATAACATTTCTAATTTCCATGCCGACAAGCACCATAAAACACACAAGGAACCAACAAAGAATTGGGGATCCCCGACAAAAGCATATGACAGATATAATCCCAACCCCATACGTTTTATTTACACATAACACTCCCAAGTTCCCATCCATCCATCTTCCTGATCTGCTCTTTTATACTAATCAGAAACCACCATATGCATCCTTTTGAATGCCAAATACACCATTTCATAGATCAGCTCATCTCAAGTCTAGTCGCTTTCCAGAGAACTTGGGAAATCATCAAGTCCTGATATAAACCCAGGATCATACCAATGTGAGATCCTTCCCTCTGAACCATATATTTCTTCTGAATGGGGTCCCTTCTCTGATAATATTCCTGAATCACACTCATAAACTTCAACTATCAAATTTTCCTCTGTGGCCACAGGTGTGAAATCAAATTTCAGACTTGGGTCGTTTGTCAGCTGGGATGGCTTGCTTGGACGTCTTGGCTCCTGAAATGGGTTTGTCTCTGAATTCTCTGCTGATAGTTTCCGCACTTTTCCTTTAGAAGATTTGACTGAGTCTGAAGCTCCGAGCTTGTGTTTCCCCAAGGACTGTGCCTTAGAGGCCATTCTCGACTTTGGATCATTTGCTGAGAAAGTGCTTGAAGCCCATCCGAAACAATCTTCAACACAAGCATTTGTAGCAGACCTGCCAACAAAAAACATACCTGATCAAGAGTCTCAAACATGTTTTCGTGAACAAGGTAACATAGACATGCAATGCAGCCAATTAGTGTACATAACAGACACCATGTGAATAACCAGTTCTTGTAAATGAACAACTGTAAGGTTATTGCAGGACAATGAATTATCTAATGGAGGAACATCCCTTTCTAAAGGAAAATCAATAAGCTATCGTACCTATAACGGTTCTCTGCAACACTCTGAGAAGCTTTTAAATGATCTTCTGCCGGAGGGTCATCTGTGTATTTTAATGAATCTCCCCAGATAGATAAATTAATGATCGGTGGGAATGGAACCAAGGATTCATCCATGTGCTGCTGAAATTCCAAGGTCAAGTCTAACTCCTCCTTATTGATGGATTGATGCTCCTGCAATCCAGGAGGAACAGTGTTATCTGGTTGAGTCCTGCTTGCGTCCTGGAGGGCAGACTCCAACAACTTGCTACTTAAGCTGGTGATCTTCATCCTCTGAAGAGGTTCTCTGACTAAATCTCGAGTGTGATTCACAGAACCAAAAAGTTTTTCATTGAAGCCAAGATCATTGCAGGAGAGGTTTTGATGATTCTCAGAGCAGGACGACATCCTCCAAACAGCTGATAGCAGGCAAGTAAAATGTTTCTGAAGGAGCATCTCTGTGTCGGGCTGCTCAGCTGCAACGTTCAGGAGTGACTGGATGTTTTCCTGCACCGATGAGAATCTAGTGAGTTAAGAGTTCCCTTTATTTTGCAATGTTCTTCAAAGTTGATCAACATAACCCATCAACATTGCAGAGTTCTATTATAGGAAAAATGTAAGCTCTAGTTCACTGATTAAGCCTTTAAATACAACAGAAAGAAGAACATCTGAGAAAAATCACAAATTCTCTCGTCTGGAAAACCTTCTGCTTTGTTAACCAAGAAGGGAAGGAAGTGCTCAATCAAGTATATTATCAGTCAGGGTAAGCAAATGAAAACAAAACAAAAACAATGGGTGAGACACAACTTAGGACCAGACCATCCCAAACTCAATACTGTTGTAAACCAAGAAAAGACAGTGCCAGGTAGCAAGAGTAGTTAATCTTCCCTTCCTTCTAGCTATCTCACTATTATCAATTTCACAGCCATGAAAGATATTTATGCCTTCTTTATTTTCTACAACCACAGAACCAAAATGTAATGCATAGTCAATCTTACCTCAGTGACTTTAAGGAGAGCCTTCCCTGAACCTGCATTGACATTTTTCTCATTCATCGTTTTGTCAGAAACAGACAAAATATGTCTTTGAACAAGTTCCCTATATCTCTCGCAACAATAAGCCGGATGACGACATCGTCCCCTGTAGGCCCCACCAGCAGCCATGCCATAAAGATTGTCGCTAATCATACTCCAGTTGGGGCCATATTCATGTACCATTGCACATAATATAGCATCCTCCTGCGGCAACCAAAAATCAGGCAAGGGGACGCAATCTCTTGACCACAGGTTCCCTTTCTTTAACTTCTCTGGCTTGATCAAAAGAACACGCTTTATTGGCATGGAAGTTATGGAAACCTTCCCCATAATTTTGTTCCTGCTTGCTGGTTTCAACTCATTATCAACAACCATGCTGTCAGATTGCTTGGACAGCATAAAGTCAACATACAGTTCACTTGATTGATTGTATTTCGCATCTGAAAGAGAAAGATCAGGAAGAGATTTCTTGGGTTTCTTTGGTTTCTTCTTTGAGGTCTTCTCATCCTCAGTGTCAACAACTAATTCTCTTTTCTTGCATTTCCTGTGCATCAATGCATGTGATGATATCATGTCCGAGTCACTACTACTCTCGTAGCCAGCACCATCATCGTCATCGTTATTATCATCTGTGGAAGCTTCGAGTTTCACTACCGGTTTTGCAGGTTTCGATTCAGAAGCTAGAGATCCTTTCTTCAGGGACTTGAACTTGGCTTTCTTGGACCTTTTCGTCTTCTTAGGTTTCGTTGCAAAATCATTCCTGAAAATTGAAAAGTTTAGATGAGTAACTAGAGCTAAGGTTACAAGCAGCCATTTTTCATTACAATCCCAGAGGAACTGGATATGATTTACACATTCCACCACGTCGACAAATAATTTCCAGAAGAAGAAAGCTAATGAGACAGTTGCAAATCAAACCAATAACAGACAGCAAGGGTTTACAAATGTCTTACTGTGTAGAATGCAAATCTGCCTCTTCTGCAGCTTCCCTCTCTCTAGCTTCATTTTCCAAATCTTCCATCAACTACAAAAATAAATAAACAAGTGAAGCGGCTGAAACACAGGAATAAGAAGAAATGGTTAATGCGCTTGCTTTTCTAACCTGATGCTGAGCTAAGGCTTCAACTTGTTGCCTGTATGCCTCCGTTGCAAAATCAGCATCCCACTCTGAGGATTTGCGTAACATTTTACATGAGCTCAAAACAGGACTATGTACTTGGCAGATAGAAGTCAAACTAAAGACTTTGGTCATCTCACGGCAACTGCCTCAGAATATGTCACTAACTAATATATTCTATGCTTAACTATTTCCATCTCATCCTTTAAAAACCGCAGACAGTTAACTTTGAGAAATACATTTGAAAACAAGGAATTAACCAGGTGGGAAAAGGAAGAAAGAAGATAAAACACGACATGCTACATCATCGCTAAGGCTAAGCAGGATTCAGAGTTAAATGACTTGAAAGATCTAATTCTATGACAAGATAAAGGGGTACACTTACTCTCATACACTAGAGGCTCTTCACCATCATCAATATCAGCTTCCATTTCATCCTTGTACCTTTCAATGTGATCAAGTTCCCATTCTTTCTCTTCAAATCCAGCCTCAGTTTCCACTGCAACCTCGTTTATTATGGGATCCCAATTTTCCAGAAATCTTACTGCATATCTGTCAATTGGACGGAGCTGATTCTCAAAAGAAGAGATAGCTTGTCCAGTGGCGGCTGCTGCCTCCGCTATGTGTTTGACATCATCCAGCATATCAGCATCTTCTTCTTGGCTTGAAAAAGTAACGACAGCTCTCTCTTCTGTGGTATCAGCATAATTTAAGATAAAGCTTTCGTCTTTAATTGAAGCTGCTGGCACGACACCTTGATCAATAGGCTCCTCAGACTTTCTATCATCTTCATTTGCGAGCTCATCATCTTCAGGTCTATCAACAGGTTCTTCCGAAAACTCTTGATTATCCACTGCTTCTTCTTGTTCTACCCTTTTAAGAGCCATGTAATCTGCTTCATCTTCGGCATGTTTCAAAGCAGCCTCCACATCTGCGTTTGACAGAGCGACCTCAGTTCCAGGATTGCGGTTGTTTTCCTTGTCATCCTTACTGGTGTGAGCCTTATGTCCAGAGAACAGCTCCATGGGGTCGAGCTTCTTGAAAAATTCAGTGTTGTACCCACCACCCTGAATCACAAGGTCATCAAGGGCACGCTTCTGATTTGCTTTCTTCAAGATATTTTCTTCAATAGTGCTCTCACTTATCAACCGATATATATGCACTTCACGTGTCTGACCTATTCTGTGGCAGCGATCTTGAGCTTGTTGATCCATAGCAGGATTCCAGTCACTGTCATAAAATATAACCGTGTCTGCACCCACAAGGTTAATACCAACACCACCACTTCGAGTTGATAAGATGAAAAGAAAAATTTTGGGATTTGTATTAAACCGCTGCATCAGTGTCTGCCTCTCTTCCGGCTGAGTAGAGCCGTCTAAACGCATGTAAGTATAACCATACAAATTAATGAAAGCCTCTAATATGTCAAGCATCTTGGTCATTTGAGTGAATATCAGAGCTCGATGACCCTCATATTTAAGTTTTCTCAGCAAGATAGCAAGCTCCTGCAGCTTACCACAATCAAACTGTATCAACCGCCTATCTGGGAAATATACTTGCCTTCTCACAATAGCAGGTCTAATGGGTGACAGAAGAGGAAACAACAAGCCTGTAGCTTTCTCCTTGTATGTTAGATCAAGGAAAACAGGAGTCTCACTTTTGCTGCACCAGCAAACAGGTGCTGGTGCTCGTGCAGCTGGTATCGCAAAAGTGAAAGCTTCAACTAACTCGATCATCTTCTGAAAACGCTCGACTGGTGAAAGAACTATATCAGCAAGCTTTGAGGAATACATGTAGGATGAACGACTAGCCTTGCAGTGATTTAGATCATCAAGGGGACCTTTTATGGTCAAAAGCTCCCTTAGAGACATTGAGTAAGTAGGTTTTCTTTGGCATCTCAAAGAATTCCACCAAGCAATGGCTGCTGCTCGGTCTTTAGCTTCTTTAATCCTCTCCTCCAAGATTGCTTTTTGAATTTCTTCAAAAATATTTGTTCCTTGAAGCCTTTTACCATTTATTGGACCCAGATAGATTGCCTCCCCATTGTCAAAGTCACAACGTTGCTTGATTAAATCTGGAGGTGTCAAAATAGCTTTCGTTTCCTCCCCTTCCCAGGAAGTCATAGAGAAATCTAGATGCGTGAATAGGAGTCCCAGAGCCTCAAGATCTACCCTGGAAAAGGGACCTTCTGAGAGCATAGAACAAATTGCTGAACTCAACTGCACATCAATGCCAACCATATCAAAAGAACTAACAATAGGACGACCCTCAAAAAGATCAGGATGATTACAAACTTTCCGCAGCTGCATTATGATATTAATCATCCCAAAGAAGTTGCCGCTTGCAAGCGTAGCCTGTGTTCCTGAGCTTGCTATAAAGTCTTCATACAAGTTCCGTTGCCTCTTAGACAGTCTACAGAGTATAACATGCTCATGTTTCACAGGAAGTTGCTTCTCCACGTCCCTTTTTAGACGCCGTAAAATGAAAGGACGAAGGACATTATGCAAGCGATCAATAACATCTTTATTGACTTTTTCTTGTCCCTCCACCATCCCCGCTATCGGATTACAAAACCAATCTTTAAATTCCTGGTGAGATTGGAAAACGTGTGGCATCAAAAAATGCATAAGCGACCAGAGTTCCATAAGGTCATTCTGCAGCGGTGTACCAGTCAACAAAATTCTGCGTTTGGAATTGAAGTTCAATAGAGTTTGCCATCTCTGAGACTTCCAATTCTTAATCAAATGGGCTTCATCAAGAATCAAGTATTTCCACTTCTTGCGCTTGAAGATTTTACTATCTTGAATAACTAACCTATAGGTTGTTATGCATACATGAAATGAATTTGGCTTCATCCAACCTTGTCTCTTGAATTTCCGCTCCTTCGCACTCCCAAAGTAGGTGAGAATTTTAAATGCAGGACACCATTTAAGAAACTCAGTTTCCCAGTTCAGCATCACACTTGTTGGAACCACTATCAGATGGGGACCCCATATCCCTTTGTCACAGGCAAGGTGTGCAAGAAGAGAAATGGTCATGATTGTCTTCCCAAGCCCCATTTCATCAGCCAAAATCCCATTTAACCTTTTCTCATACATGGTGACAAGCCAGTCCAAGCCAATGTGCTGGTATTCACGCAGTGAATGCTTGAGTAGAAACGGGAGCTTCGTACGGACTTTTGTTGTTGAGAAGGTAAAACCTGTTGGCTGCGCGGATCTTGCCGCTGCTGCAGCATCAGCAATTTTAACACCATTTTCTTCTTTTATTTCATTGGTCCCATCTTCATGATTTTCGAAGCATGGCTGCAAATTTGGCTTACATGCTCCTGAATCAACATTATCATCATCTGAATCGACTTGCTGCTTCATTTCATGAGACTCTACAAGGCCTTCCGATACTGATAAAGCAGATGCATCTCCAAACTCATCCTCCGAAATTTCCTTGCCATCGATGTCCTATAACAGAAGGAAATTTTGAGTAATCAAAGCACAATAAAAACAGCCAACCGCAAGCACAGGAGACATACAAGCGTACCTTCTTATACCTTGCAAGCAGTTCTTCAATAGGCATTTCACTCTCCTTTTGCAGCAATGCAATCTGCAGTACAGAGAGAGCTTTTCCTTTGTAAACATTTTTTAGTAGACTTTGGCAAGCACCGACAATTTACAGCAAAAAACAGAATCATGATATATGACCAATATGTTTGTCACCTCATCTATGGGATCTTTAGTATCTGCTTTTGCCAGTTCCTCTTCTTCAGATAGTGTTGCCTCATCATCCTGCTCCCAGAGAGAAATTCAACAACTCCTAAATTATCTCCCTTCGTACGAAAATTTGTTCTCTCAATGCCAAGAGCACAAAGTTAAGAGTATCAAGGCTGAAATCCCAGCAGTTGACAACTTGACAAAACCACATACCTTTTCCTCTTTAGTGGAAACTACAAAGTCTACATCTTCCTGCACAGATTGACATAAGCTGATGAATAAACATATACAACATTGGAGGACTTAACACCGACAAGAGAAATGAACATTGGGATTAGAGGTCTCCTAAATAAAAGAATAAACAAAACAATTATTAGACCCAGTTATCTACCTGTTCATCATTGAAGTCATATGGATGACCTTCCTTTTCAGATTTCCAAGAGATAGTTGTTACATCTTCAGATGGGCCTGGCTCAAGCTCATGAGAATGGGTCTCTGACATCGCTAACTCACCATTGCTATGATCCTGTAAATAAATGATGAATATTACATTTGAGCCTTAAACTTGAGATCAATTAAAACAATGAGATCTAAAAGACATACAACTTACAGAACGGCGAACACTTGTGCTTCCTACAGTTTCTTTTGCAGCTGCAATATTATTCTTCTCCTCTGCATTGGATCAAATCGAAAGAGCACGTCAAAGAGTAGTCACATAGCTCGCAATATATTTTAAGAACCTTAAACCACTTACCCTTTCCATGATATTGACCTTCCGAGGCCAGATCAGTTTCAATTTCAGCCATTTTTTGGCAGGTTAGTGTGCAGATTGAGGGACCTAAATCAACGAATAAAACAAGAGGAGAATATTACTCAAGTTGGCTGACATTTATGGGACATACAGTTCCCAATAAAGTAAATGGCACTCATAAAAACATATACACACACATAACATAAATTGGAAAAAAGATAGAGAGGGTTAAAACATGCCAACCTCGGGCTGCTGAATAGCTTCTAAGCAACTCTTCAAGAGGTAGATCCACTTCATTTTGCAAAGCTTCCAATTCCTCTTGTCTTTCCCGTTCACTGATGTGTTTCTCATCCTCTTCAATTGTATCTTCATTATCTTCCTAAGTGTAACCAAAGATTTAAAATAAGACACAAAACTTGTAAGGAAGACCATAAGGATAAATGACCACTAATCAGTTCTACCTCCACAAACATTACACAATACTACTGTACCGCTTACAATTTGAGTATAACAAGCGGACGAGGTAATGGGAACATAGTGCTTCATTGACTATAAGTGGCATACTTCCTAGATCTGGTCCTTGACAAGATTACATTATGCCCAATGTTTCTTAAAGTCACTGGTGCATTGCATATTTGATTTTGTGGTACCAATCCACAGTGAATAAGCCATAGACTAAAACTAGAAGATATTAAGCAGAAACTTACAGAGTCATCCCCAGATGATATGTCATAATCTACATCGTTCTCAACAGTTCCTGATTCAGAACCTGCAGCTACAGTGTCAAGCCATCTGCTAAGAACGGTTCTCCTTGCAAGTTATATATAATACTGTTAAGTAATAAGTACTCACCGACATTCAACTCGATGGGTTCTTGTTCCAAACTCTCCTCATCACTTTTTGATTCAATAGCTAGTTGCTTCTCTGGAGCATTATTTTGCCCTCGTTCATATGGCTCCACTAGATTTTCTGCTAACATGGTTGAGTACCTAAACAGCAGAGATATAAAAAAAATCAAATATCATATTCTTATAAGAGATCTACAGCCGGAAATTTGTGTGAACAATCCAGACAAAGTACATCCTCAAAATTTCTTCTCACTATATTCAATTCTTTAGATAAGTACAAGCAATAATACTTTGAAAGAAAGACTCCCCAATACCTCTCAGTTTGGCCTAACAAAAATTCAAGATGCTTATCCAATGCCTTTTTCTTTTTCTCACCAAGCACCAGCTGGTGCTTGTAAAGAACCTGTCAGGTTGCAAGTTCACACAGAAACGAGCTTCAGAAGCACATAAACCAAGTCAAACCTTAAATTTATCGAATATGGGAGTCAGAAGAGTTACCAGCTTCTCGATTTTCATCCAAAATTTTTTTATATCTTTCGAAATATTAAGGGCTACTTTCCGCAATCGTTGTTCTTCTTCCTGAAAGTAGCTATACTGTCAGTTACAAAGAAATGCAGTTTGCAGAAGAACAGAGAGAAAGAGAGAGAGAAAACCTTTAGCTTCTTCTCTTCCCTGGTTGCTTGATCTACCGTTCCTTTGCTGGCCCTCAAAGCAACCTTTTTCGCCTGCGCCAACTTCCATTTCCTTTCAGATTCAAAGTCCTGCAAAAAGAGAACCTCAAGTTAGAGATAAAGCAGAAAGAATTATATGTATTTGCACACAATTCACAGGGCATGAACAGAAGTGCTGAAAGATCAAACCAGCCACCCTTTGTTACCTTTGACAACCAAGCCATCTCTTCCAACACATGGTCCCAATGGGTTTTGGGGCGACGTGGTTCTTTGGGAGCTTCGAGCGTCTGAAAGAAAAGCAGACCTGTTAAATGTTGTCCAATATGCTTATGAAGCTGTTATAAGTTCAGAGTAGAACCTGATGGAAGAAAATGAAGTCAACCTAGAACCCAAGTTTGGACAGAGAAGAAGTTCAACTAATTTTGGGAGCTAACCTTTGGGCGCTTAGCTCTTGAATCATTATCAGGCTTAGATTTTCCACCCTTAGAAGCCATCGCTCACACCTCTAGGCCTAATCATGCAAGAAACTGCCAGAATAAACCAAAAAGGGAACTTGAAATTACAAACATGACACAGAACTTGAAAACATCGAGTTCCGGCAAAAAATGTGAACAATATACCGAAAACCAAATGGGTTAATTTTTCAACATCAGAGCTGAAGGCGCATGGCGATATCCGAACACAGCAACAATTCAACAAGTTCAAATTAACACAAAGCAGTTCAAGGGATATTCCATTCAAAACTTCAAGAATCTAGCTCCTTAAATTAGAAAGAACGATAAACGTCTTCCTGCCATTCATCAGAACCCTGTATTAAACCTAGGAGGAAGCATTTAAGCTCTGAAGCTGGCGAACCTAAAACAAGAAAACTCCGCTTATTTCCGACAAACTTGGCCGGAAAACCAAGTAAGAGGGGGACCTTCCGCAGTCCGCCACGGCGAGGAACGTCGGCGGATGATGATGGTAGGCTCCGGCTACGGGAACAGAAACCCTAACAAGCAAGAGAGAGAGTGACCTGATCTGAGAAGAGGGGAGACACGAATCTGGGCCGGGCTCCCGCGAGAGATATTATCTTTGATTCAAAGCCCAGGCTTCATCTTGAAGGAATTGCTCCATCTTTTGGGCTCTTCTCACGTCTCGTCATTAGTCAACTTGCCAACAAAATCTTAACCTTTTTTTTGTTGCTAAAGTAAAAGTAATAAAAAAATATCATGTATTTGGCCGAAATCTGTAATCTATTTTGGAATTCAAATAAGAATTTTGTCCTGGATTCGACACCAGAACTATATGGCTATACGAATAAGATGGGGTCTGTTTAATATAAAAAATGTATTCGATGAAACGTTATTTCAGGATATATATATATATATATATTATATGTTGAAATGCATGAACTTCATATCGTGTCTTTTCTACAATAAAATTATTCTGATTTATAATTATAGTTTTACAAGGAAGTACAGAAACAAAATAACTCTGAAAAACTAAAATTAAATTTAAGAACTATGTATACATAAAAAAATGTATTCAACGTATGCATCAAATATAAGAACTCTGTATTGGACACCGATATTTCATGATTTGTTACAAAAACTCAAAATATGAATATTCATATACAACCGACATAATTAGATTAGATTTTTGTCACGCCTTGGATATTTTTTTCCTGGTATAAATTCGAAAAGAAAAAGCACCACTAATTTTGTAAACCAAAAAGTAAAAGGGGATTATTATTTAGTAAAAATGTTTAAAAAGAGAGAGAGACGCGTTTCTCACGTGACTTGTGGAGTCGCTGACCCAACACGCGCGCATCACGTGTTCGCATCGCCGGAGAACTCGATGCTTTCCCTCCGAAACCGTCCGCCGTCAGTAAATTCCAAAAATACCCTCACCTACAATTTCATTGTCTTTGTCGCCTGCGTCACTGTCGTCAGTCGTGACGCCCAATGATATTGGTCCACGTCTCTCCCAGCAAGGCATTCCTCCAAGTCAGAGCTCCCACTGCTCGACACGTGTCCTCTTCGCAGCACCGTCTATAGCATTCAAAAGGCCTCGGATTCGACTCCCTCCCATCCTCTTCTTCTCCTCTCTCTCTTAGGGTTTCCGAGAAAAATATTCTGCGCCAAAAGACGTTTCCGGTAACTCTTTTCCTCTGTGGTTTCATTGGATTTCCCTACCTGTTCTTTGATTTTATCATGCTCTGCGGTTCTTTAAGCTCTCGTTGGGGTGGCAACAGCGTAATTTTTGTTTGGCTTTTGCTTCGTATAATCTTCTGGGTCGAATTCTGATTCAACTAGTATAACCTTCTCCTCTGCGGTTTCTGTGAATTTTATGAACTAATACGTTGGCTCTTCTTAGTGTGTTCAAAATGCGAGTCGCAGCGGAAGAGTCAAATTTTTGCATTGGTTTGGTAGAAGCTGAATCGACGGGTGTGATTTAAGAGAATGTTCGTGTTTCCCCGTCCAAACTCAGCATGCATGAGTTTATTTCTACTGAAAGTATTCACTTTTGTTCTTCGTCTACCTTGAGTTGTTATGGATGCGAAAGTCCTTTTCTGTATTAGTCCTGTTGTCTGTGTTAGACATTTTCTCTCTTTTGGAAGGGAAATTTTACAATTTTAGACCGGAAGGCAAATCAACCTTTTTAGTTGTTTGGCGAAGAAGAAAACCCTATCTCTCAGAGAAGAGCCAAACTTCCTTTTTTTTCCGGTTTCTTCTTAGCTCGTTGAATTTCTAGAACAATTATCATATGAAATTAAATGGCATATCCTTTTGCAATAGTTGCTGGAAATGAATTTTGTGTTTTTCCTCTGTTTCTAGATGTTGTTGGATTCGGTGTGTTTTCGGAGATTTGGTCAATCCAGTAAATTATGGGTATGTGACTTCACAGACCTGAATTACCAAAAAAGTGTGACGCTATATAAGTTGCTCGCCTAATTTTCTGCTCATCTATAATAGAAAATTCGGAAGTGGGCATTGGCATATGAAACTGTGAAAAAGCACTGAGGCTCTTGGACCTTTTCCACTAAGAAAAATATTGCTTCATGTGTTTTGCGGAGCATTATCATGTTCTATATTCTAAATTATGATTCTCGTCTTATGTCTGTCTTTTGCCGTCTTGATACGAGAAGATAGCTTAGCAAAGTTAGACATGGATCAATCAGAAACGCTGCAAGCACAGCAGCAGCCCCAGCCGATGATGGCTTATGGGCCTCATTCATATCAGACCACGACTATGGTGGCGGCAGGTACTCCTGCAACAGGTGTGACATCTCCGACGCAGCTGCCACCGACGTTCTCCAATACGTCCCATCTTGCATTTCAGCAAGCCCACCAATTCCATCACCAACAGCAGCAACAGCAACAGCAGCAGCTCCAGATGTTTTGGGCCAACCAAATGCAAGAGATTGAGCAGACGACAGATTTCAAGAACCACAGCCTCCCGTTGGCCCGGATCAAGAAGATCATGAAAGCTGATGAAGATGTGAGGATGATATCCGCAGAGGCTCCTGTGATATTCGCCAAGGCATGTGAGATGTTCATCCTCGAGCTGACTTTACGTGCTTGGATCCACACTGAGGAGAACAAGAGAAGGACGCTGCAGAAGAATGACATAGCTGCTGCGATATCAAGAACCGATGTGTTTGATTTCTTGGTGGACATAATCCCAAGAGACGAACTGAAAGAAGAAGGGTTAGGGGTAACGAAAGCAAGCATACCAATGGTGGGGTCTCCAGTGGATATGCCCTACTATTACGTGCCGCCACCGCAGCATCCGGGGATGATAATGGGAAAGCTGATGGATCAAACATCGGTGTTTGCACAGCAGCAGCCACGACCAGCGATGGCGTTCATGCCGTGGCCGCCTGAGGGGAATCAGCAGCAGGAGCAGGGTGAGCGTGACGAGTCTTGAAGAGCACTTACAGTTACAGGGGGGTTGGTTTTAACTTTGAAGTCGCTGGGTAATGTGTTGTCGAATTCCTGTCCTCCCTCTGGTGTGTCTGTATTCGTAAGAGTAAACAATGTGGTGTATGGTGGTCTTTATTGCAGTGGAAGACAGATCTCAAATTATGCAATTGGTTTTGTGTAGGAGATTTTGGTTGGATTTCAAAAAATATGGTGAAACCCGAATCTTGGGTTTGGATTCGGGTTCGAGCTCTGCAAATTACCTTACAATTTATTCCCCGATATCTTATATCTATCTTCAGCCTTAACCATATCAAAGATACTAGAAATAGTTAAGAGGAAAGGGGAGAGGAGAAGAGGAGGGCGTAGATTCGACCGAGTCAAACTTTTCATTTGTCAACCCGATCGGATATCTTCTGGATCCCAAAAAGCGGGTTTACCAAATTTTTTATATTCAATTGGGTATTATAAATACCCTTTGTTATTCGTATTCCTATTTCATCATATATCTTTCTCCAATTATGATCATGTGATCCAAAATATGGATCATCATAAATTTAACGTTATAATCAATAAAATTAAAATGTGACTATATTTTAAGTTCATATAGATCACATGGTCACAGTTAGAGAATAGTATGTTAGAGAATAGTATGCATTGAAGTAAGAATAGAAAAAGTAAAGTTATTTTTTATATAACGCATATTCAATCGCCATGAAATCGAGATCAAACACTATAAAGACCAGAGTCAAATAATCGAAAAAATTAGGGACCGCCTTGCAATATTCCAAAATAATAATAATAAAATTGGCATCATATATTAAGTGGCTGCCGTTGGAGTTTGGTTTGGGAATGGTAGGTATGGCGAGGATGGAGTCTCCGTTCAAGGGCGATGTTCTTAAAGGGAAGGTGGCTCTTATTACCGGAGGCGGCTCCGGCATCGGATTCGAGATCTCTTCTCAGTTCGGCAAACATGGAGCCTCCGTCGCCATCATGGGTCGCCGCAAGCAAGTCCTCGACGCCGCCGTCTCTTCTCTCAGATCCCTTCGTATTCCTGTATTCTCTCCTCTTCGTATCCATCACTTGTCGTTGATCTCTGAATCTTCTGCAGTTTTTTTATGCTTTTTTTTCGAATTATGTGTCTGAAGGCTGTTGGATTCGAGGGTGATGTTCGTAAGCAAGAGGACGCACGAAGAGTCGTGGAATCCACTTATCAGCATTTCGGCAAGATTGACATTCTCGTCAATGCTGCTGCTGGGAATTTCATTGTCTCCGCCGAAGATTTGTCTCCCAACGGCTTCCGAACAGGTCTCGCATGGATATCTCTGTAATCTATTCCGTAATTTCTTTGAAAGTAGGCCTAGTGTTTTGTCTCACAGTCCCGTTTACGGGCTGCAACATCATTTGTCATGTGTTATACTGCATGTGATTGAATTTTTTTTTTCCTCTGAAAAGTTATGGCCATGGCTTTAACAGAGGGTTTGGTTTCGTGGATGGCCAAAACCTGTCAATGTTGTAGATTTTTTGGTACTGTGTGAATATTCAGAGAAGAGAGGTGGGATATTCAGTCTCTCATTAAAATGGTATGCAGCTCTTGTGTGGCTTGCTGGTCTGTGAAAGTAAAGATAAGACACAAACTGAACCAACCTTTGTTTTAGGAATCTATGATAAGTAGATAGGAACAGTTTTTCTGAGGCTCAGCCAACTGCCGAATTGAATTCTGCATACAGTCTATAGAGTCCTTTCTTGTGCAGTTCTGGATATCGACTCAGTTGGAACATTTACAATGTGCCATGAGGCGCTGAAGTATCTCAAGAAGGGAGGGCCGGGGCAAGACTCAACTACTGGTGGCTCGATTCTGAACATAAGTGCCACCTTGCATTACACAGCTTCTTGGTATCAGATACATGTATCCGCAGCCAAGGTTAGTCTCTACTCAATCAATAAACAGAAATGGTTATCTACCAAAATATACATTAATATCACCATGGCAGCAATATACCTGAAAACTGATAGAGTAGAGTCCCCTCTGAACAGGCTGCAGTGGATGCAACTACAAGGAACTTGGCATTGGAGTGGGGAACTGACCACGGCATTAGAGTAAATGGGATTGCACCAGGTCCCATTGGCGATACACCAGGGATGAGTAAGCTCGTGCCGGATGAGATTCAAAGCAAAGCTAGAGAGCATATGCCACTTTACAAACTGGGAGAGAAATGGGATATTGCCATGGCAGCAATATACCTGAGTTCGGGGTCTGGGAAATACGTGAATGGGATGACGATAGCAGTAGATGGAGGACTATGGCTGAGCCGACCTCGGCATCTGCCCAAAGAAGCCGTGAAGCAACTCTCTCGGGTGGTAGAGAAGAGGTCTAGGGACAAACCCGTTGGCCTCCCTCTCACTTCCAGCAAGTTATAAAATGCCTCCCCCTCCTCAGACCCATTATTAACAGATGATGGTAATGGTGTCGTGGATTCAATCTGAATATGATGTTTTTATGACAGTGATATATGTGTATCTGAAACGCATTCAGCATGTAGGATTCAGTGTTGAATGAATGTTTCTGGATACGGAATAATTCATACATTAAGACACAAGAATCTTGCATTCAAATGTTATTACTGAAGAGCCTTTAATGAAAAGCTTTGATACGCAGCTCAGATGTTATTACTGTCCCTGAAAGGCAGCACCTTTTACCCATGTCCATATGGTTTGTTTTATTATGTGTATTTCCTGCTCCAGTCATCCGCCTAAAGACATGGCTTCCTCAATCCTTCTCATCACAATGCTAAGAGGACTCCCTTCTTGGAGAGCTTCAACAGCCGCCCTGTGAGCCTTCTTGTGCCATTTCAGCAGATTATAAGATTGCAGAACAGACCACCTCGCTTGATTTGACATCTACGCAATCAAATATAGAAAAATCTTCACTTCCTAATCCATATTATATTATTCATATTAAATCTTCACTAGACTGACCTGAGCCACGGACAACGGTGGTTGCAGAAGGACAGAGATGCTCCTGAACAGATTCTCGTCATTCTCTCCACCCTCGGCCTCACCGTAAACAAGCGCCTCTGCTGCGATACCAGCAAAAAGAACCATGCTGTACCTGAGAGAACAAAATAACAGTCGTAAATGACAGAGTATGTCACAGAGAGAGAACTTAACTAAAGACCTACCGATCAAAAGAGCTACCGCTAAGTCTTCCCACAGCAATCTCACTCTCCATCTTTTGATCCCAGAACTGGGTTCCAGCCTAATGAAAGAAAACCACGTTTTGTATTCGGTAACAATCATAGCTGAAAGATGCAAGAGATGCACTGTGCTACAAAATTAACCAGCCCTACTACACATATAGGCAGTACAACGGCATACTACTACCTGCCCCTGAATCCCCATTTGCATGGCAACAAAAGGATCCAATATCACACCACGGATTGGGCAGCCCAAGAGGTATGCTACATAAAACAGAAAAGACAGGACTAACAGCCTGCTCAGAGGTTTTACATTATCAACAAGTACCAATTACATGATGATCTCCTCACCTACAAGAAGATGACCTGCTTCGTGAACTATGATTCTACGCTTATGTGGAGGCCAGTAGCTTGATATTTGCGCTAAACAGGTACCTCCAAGTAAAATGGAATCCATAAAAGCTAGACCTAAAATGGCCGCAAGGTTAGGCCTCAGATCAATTCCCTGAGAAAGAAGATAGGACACTCCACCAAGAAAAGCAGCCAGAACTAGGCTCGAGCCACCAGAAAGACCCCACTTCTTTGGGGCAAGCTTGGTCACTATTAAACAGGAAAAAAAAAATCTTAAAAAGTAAGCTTCGAGTGCCACCCGTGGAATCAAATATGAGCGGTCAGAGAAATTACGGCAGCAAACCTTCTAAACCAGTTGCAGACTTCAGCACAGCAGGCGTAACCTCTCTGGTTCCTTCCAAGACTGCGATGAGTGTGCAGAGCAAAATGTCAGTGACCAGCTGAATATTGTGGAAAAGAGAAGATCCAACAAATGGTCAGTCCAGCTGTTTGCATTAGCATGCACACTACGAGCAACAGACACTTGACAGCTAATACAAGTTAAGACGAACGACAATCTTTGGCGGACAAGATAATCCTGCTCAAAGGGTTAGCTGCACATCAGACGGCACAGAAGCTATTCAAGACAAGACTTTGTGAAACACCCGTTCCATGGTATTCAACGTAGTGATTCACGAAACCATAGTAAAATTCCTGTGTTCTACCCAAACAGGAAGTGAATTCTTAAAGAACAGATTCAAACGCGACAAAATTCGCTCATCATATGGCCAAGGTTGAGAGAAGATGAAAAACGGAGTACCAATACTGCTGAATTTGCCAAAATTCGCGAGTAACCCTCTGTCCCTGAGGAACCTAAATGCGCTGCCGACGAGCCTCATATCATCGGCATTCAAACACGCATCCAAGACTTGCCAGTCCCTCTCCAATTCCAGAGCTGCCAATCCCCCAAGCCGAGCCGATTGCTCCGATAGCGTACGTTCTACGACAGGATCAAGCACGTCGGTTTCGTCGCCATTGTCGATGGACTTGAGAAACCGGAGAGCTCCGGAGAGATCCTTTCTCTTCAAAGCATCATCGTATTCCCGCCATTCGCTGAGCGCGCGAGGTAGGAAGGAGGAACTCTGACGGGAAAAGGGGCGGAGAGAAGGGGAGAGAGTGAAGGTTCTGAGAAATGGAGAAGACGAGGGAGAAAACGCCATGAGAGCTCCTCCGTCTCGGATGTCACAAAGTAATTTACAAAATCAGGAAAAGGTTGAAATTCCTGGGTTGGGCCGAATATCATTGGGCTTTGTAAATGACCCGATTTTGATCCAATTTAATAACTCCATAACAGTAGAACGGTGATTTATTATATATTTCAAAATTCGAATTGAAGTTGGACAACAGGCGTAATTGTAAAATTCATATCCGGCAATTACCTATAGCTATTCAAGAAAATTTGTTAACTGTTAAAGTAGCGCTTTCAAGAAAACTAATGGATAATGATAATTAAAAAAATAGGAGAAATGAGAAGTGGGTTTATTAGATATTCGTTGATGTGAATGAGATTGGATTCGATATAAGGGAAGGTTGAGAAGTTGAATGTAAACTCATGGTGTAAAAGGTTGTTTGGTTCTGGATTTTTCTATCTATCATTAGTCAAACCGATTTCGAATGTAAACTCATGGTTATGAGTTTTCTAAAAATAATTCGAATCAAAATAAATAAAAAAGAATCACAAAAATTTATTTTTTATCAATAAAAACCGAATACAAATCGAAAAGAACTAAAATAAAAATAAATCAAACCAAATGGAATTCAATTTTATAGTTTTTTTTTTAAAAACAAAATAATTGAATCCGAAAGACTTTCACCAAGACGTTCGTTGGACCACTTGGGCCTGTGATTTGAGTCCATAGGCCCAATTAACTCTTAAAACTTGGGCCTCACTCTTTCGGTGGCAATATGGTAAACTCACTTTTCTACCGATGGCAGCTTTTTTGCATATATAAATGTATGTTATATGCCGACGAATATCCCCATTCCTCGCAATAGCATTCGATCTCAAATCTCCCATCTCCCTCTATCCTCGTACTTATCGTGGACTCTTCCCTATTTCAGATTTGGAGGTCTCCTGCCTGGTTTCTGAGTATTCGTCTGTTGTGTACGCAGTGATCTTCCTTTTGCTTTGGCTGCAATGGCGACGAAGAGGAGCGTTGGAACTCTCAAGGAGGCTGATTTGAAGGGGAAGAGAGTCTTCGTGAGGGTCGATCTCAACGTCCCTCTGGACGACAACTTCAACATCACCGACGACACCAGAATCCGTGCCGCTGTTCCCACTATCAGCTACTTGATGCAAAATGGAGCTCGAGTCATCCTCTCTAGCCATTTGGTTTCCCTTTCCCTCTTTGCTCGTTCCTCCGATTTTGTCCTCATTTGATTTGATACCAGTGTGCGGAATCCGTCCAATCACATTTATGTGTTTGATCGCTTAAATCTACTATCAGAAGCAATTGTTTTTTTTTCCGAACTATAGTGCCGTTGATGCTTTCTGCGAAATGTTCTTCGATTCAAAGAAGTTAACAATATTTGCATAAATTCTAAATTGGATTGGGAAACTGTTCGAAAGGGAGATTTTTGGGAAATTAAGCCAACTTCTTGCACCGACTCATCCTTACCCTGCCAGGATAACTTTGGTGGTCTAGAGTGGTGATTTGAAGTTCCTCCATTTGGAAATTTTATTCTTGTTTTATAGTTTACCGCTGGTTTTCCGTCTCTCAAGCAAGTATGATCTTTCCAGGGTCGCCCAAAGGGCGTCACTCCCAAGTACAGCTTGAAGCCTCTTGTTCCAAGGCTGTCTGAACTCCTTGGTGTCGAGGTGTTTGCCCCCAACTTTCTTGTTTCCCTATATTTTCTCTTACACTTTGGCATTTGAAGTGATTAGTATCTAAGGCTTCTCTGTGTGTGTGTTTTTTTTTTTTGTGGCAGGTTAAGATGGCAAATGACTGCATCGGTGAGGAGGTCGAAAACCTAGTGGTGGCACTTCCAGAAGGAGGTGTTTTGCTCCTTGAGAACGTAAGATTCTACAAGGAAGAGGAGAAAAACGACCCTGAGTTTGCCAAGAAGCTTGCCTCTCTTGCCGATCTATATGTGAATGATGCATTTGGCACTGCTCACCGAGCTCATGCTTCTACAGAGGGTGTGGCCAAGTTTTTGAAGCCTTCTGTTGCTGGTTTTCTCATGCAAAAGGTGTTTGCTTTTTTCTTTTTCTTTTTTTTGTCGCGTTTCAATACATTTTATTTTCTGTTCCGGTGCACAAAGGCAACCAATTGGGGTTTAAATTATTTTCTGCCATTGTTCACAGCATTTGTCTTGTGGTGCAGGAACTGGACTACCTTGTTGGGGCCGTGGCTAACCCCAAGAAGCCTTTTGCCGCCATAGTAGGAGGCTCAAAGGTCTCATCTAAGATCGGAGTCATTGAATCCCTTCTGGAAAAGGTTGATGTGCTCTTACTTGGCGGTGGTATGATCTTCACGTTCTATAAGGCCCAAGGACATGCTGTCGGGTCTTCTCTTGTGGAAGAGGACAAGCTCAGTCTTGCAAACTCTCTCATGGAGAAGGCAAAGGCCAAAGGTGTCTCTCTTCTTCTCCCAACTGATGTCGTTGTTGCAGACAAGTTTGCCGCTGATGCTAACAGCAAGGTCAGTGCCTGCTTCATCTTTCTTTCTGTGTTGTTTGAGTCAGGTGGGAGTGTTGAGATTGTGAAACTCGGTTTTTATTATTGCAGACAGTGTCGGCATCTGAGATTCCAGAAGGTTGGATGGGCTTGGACATCGGTCCTGACTCCATTGAAACATTCAGTGAAGCTTTAGACGAGACGCAAACGATCATCTGGAACGGACCGATGGGTGTGTTTGAGTTTGATAAGTTTGCAGTAGGAACTGAGGTATGGGAGCTCCAATCTTACTTGTTCTAGAAATATCATGCCATAGCCCACGCATATAAGATAACCCGGGTCATGTTCTTAGGCCATTGCTAAGAAGCTGGCAGAGCTCAGTGACAAGGGAGTGACAACGATCATCGGAGGTGGTGACTCAGTTGCAGCCGTGGAGAAGGTTGGTCTTGCAGACAAGATGAGCCATATCTCCACTGGAGGTGGTGCCAGCTTGGAGCTTCTGGAGGGAAAACCACTTCCAGGTGTTCTCGCCCTTGACGACGCATGAATCCATGCAGTTGCATTTCGGTCTAGTGCCCTTTAGTGCTGGTCTAATTTGCTTGGCCATTTACGTGTTTCATGTGCAAGAGTGTGCGATAGAGAGCTGTTCACTTTAGCAACAAGGATGCTGTCTTTTTCTTTTGGTTGACTTGGAATGAATAAAAAAAAAGAGTGGGTTTTCTCTGTTCCTAATGCCCAACACCTATCTCGAATGAATTAGATTTTTCATTCGATTTGGTTGGAATCATGTTGTCTTGTATCTTTCTTGTCTGAGAGCATTTAGATGTGGGTGCTTTGCTTTTGGACAACTAGATGAAACCATGAAACCTCCAACGCAGTCGCACAAATATTCTTGTGGATGGCCCTTTTATTTCAGCTTTTATTTTTGTGGGACCAAAACAAACGATTGATTTGAGATAACCCAAGGGAAGAAAAAGAATTTATACATTTGAGAAGGCCTAAGAGAAGAATCTACCCCACAGACTGTCGGCTTTTGAGCACCTTCTAGATGATGACGATGATTCACCTGAACTCTCTCTCTCCCTGTGTCTGATGAGCCCTTGTCTCAGACCATCGTCCAGGAGATGCTGACAATAGGCATCGTTCTCTTCAAAGGCAATGTACATCTTGAAGAAGATGGTCTTGTTCGCATCATCCTCCATATCCATCACCCCCAAGAAAGTCCGAAGGATGGCAGCCGCGTTCAGCCGAAAATGCCCTTTGACCAAGTCCTCGAACCCGGTGGGTGGCCGTCTCAACATATCAAGCATGGTCAGGCAGAAGCATGCAAACTTCTGCTTGGTGTTGTTTCTGGGGTTCAATACGGTATCTTGTACGTGCGTAAAAATGTCAGATACGTTAAAGGGTTTGGATCTACTGCTGGCTAACCTGAAAGAAAACTCTGGTGCACGGCCATACGAACAGTAATAGACCTCAGGTGGTAGCGATGGGTAATTCAGTGGAAACTTGAGGTCGAAGAAGAACAAACCGTGACAGAAGGGAATGTGGGGGTATGAGACGGAAACAGCGAGTCTCATGAGATCCTTGCGACCTTTGTAAGCTCTGATGAAGAAGCGGAAGCCATCGACAGAGGAATGACCGTCAAGGCCCCTCCACTCTCTCTCAACGTTAACGTTGGAGGCAGCTGAGTATCGGCTGTAATAGAAGTGGTGGTCTCGAGGGGCGTCTCCTTTGAGGGCGTCGAATGTTTTGAAGTTTTTGAAGTTCCAGTCCACGCTGTCTCCTAACTCCAATATTTCGTTTTCGAAAATGTCTATTATAAAATGTTCGGTCCCTCCGAACTCAACTCTGTCTCCCACTCTGTCACCTTCAGCCACGTCGTCCTTCTCTGCGCCGCCTTCCTCTCCAAGCATCTCCCCGTCATCTTCTTTGTGTATGCTTCTCTCTGCTGCGGCTGTCTCTCCGTCAACCACTTTGTGTTGTTTTCCGGCGAATGCACCTTTCAGTTTCCGCCTCATCTCTCCAGGACTAAAACCCTAATTTCTTTAGTCATATGACGTGATATTCCCCTCTCTCCATATATATAGAGATATAGATATAGATATGGTAACAAAGATTCCCTACAAGATTTGTTTCTCGTAGGATTGTGATTAGTTGTTCAGTTCCTGATGCCCAGAAACAAACTCAGGATAAACTTTTTTTTTAATGATAAATCGTAATAATTTTTTGGTTTCGGTGAAGATAATATACAAAGTGGGGCTTTAACATCTATATTGGCTTCGGTGATGAATATGTTTCGTGCCTTTAAATTTTGGCTAATTATTGGATATTATTATTTGAATTCAGTTGCGCCGGATTCGTCGTATACCTTCACACGATACGATCCGGTAGTTTTTTTTTTAAAAAAAAAAGTTAAAAAGAAGATAGGTGTCGGCTTTCTTTTATTTTATGATAGAATCAAATTTTGATAAGATTTTGGCCATGAATTGAATATCTCGGCCATTGATTTTGTGATTTTGTTACAAGGGACACCCAAACCAAAAGTATGTTCCTGAAAACATCATTTCTACAAATATCAGGCGCATTATGAAAAAATGGCGAAAGTTTCTCCACGTGTCTTATTGCGATAGGATGAAAGTTGTTATTTCCCCAATAGCCACCACCACAATCTCCGTCTCAATCTCGCCTCTCGGTTGCCCTGGGTGGGTAGGTGCCAAAATCCGTAGCCATGTCGGCCTCCTTAATCCAAACTTCTCCTCTTTCGTTAAACAATAAAGGTACTTTCTCCATGAATCGTATCGATTTTTCTATGGTTTCTGTATGTTTCTCCTGGATCTTTGTTTGAAAGGACCGAAATTTGGTGTCCATAATTCGTATGAACTTTTCTGTAATTTAATGAGAAAGCTGCGCCGGATTACGATTCGGCATGATATATTAAGATGATTTTACTAAAATCCAGCGAACTCAGAGGAGCCATGGAAGGAACAGATGAAGCTTAGAGTTTGTAATTGGGGTTTGCAATTTAAACCGCTGGGAAGAGGTAAAAGACGAAATAGAGGGTTGGAATGGAGTGGTGGCAGAAAGCTTCCTTCTTTGATATGCTACTCCGCCGCTGTAAGTGCAATTTACCTTTATCTTCTTATCTGTTTCAAGCATTACCACGCTCTCCCCCGTGTTTTCTTCCTTACACTGGTCTACTATGTCTTTGCATACAACACAATAAGGGTAAAAACATCTCTGGCAACTTTCTGACAGGTTCTGTGTGAGGGTGCTCTTGTTCTATTTGATTCATGTTGCGTCCTTGGTGTATGCTGCAGATGTGTATCTGTTTGGTTCACTGTGCTGGATATGTTGTGCTTATTGGCAATAATCTATATGTTTTACGAAAGATACAAAAGGCAACACGGTCTTGATCCTCCTCTGTTTTCTTGTGCAGAACGCAAAGTGTAGTGAAGGACAAACTCAGACCATTACTCGCGAGTCACCAACCATAACCCAGGCTCCTGTTCACTGTAATACCTTATTTCTCCCTTTTCATAGCCAGCTTTTCCTGGAATTTTGTGTTCAATTTGGCATCCAAAAGTACCTTTTAAAACCAGAGCGCTTCATATAAACTGATGACCCTCCATTGAGTTATTTTCTGTCTCCGGAATAAGTGAAATTCGTTGAAGAATTGGTTTGAACAGACAGCTGGTCCCTAAACAAAGAGTCTTATTTGTGTGGTTGTGGGTTCAGCAAAGGAGAAATCACCGGATCTGGATGATGGAGGGACAGGCTTCCCGCCGAGAGATGACGGAGACGGAGGAGGTGGTGGAGGCGGCGGTGGAGGCAACTGGTCGGGAGGGTTCTTCTTCTTTGGCTTTCTAGCTTTCCTGGGGTTCTTGAAGGATAAAGAAGGCGAGGAAGATTACCGAGGCAGCCGTAGGTGATGAGGCCAATCCTAGTCTCAAGCGAGCTCAATTGGATGTAATATTGTTGTCTTTTCCAAGTGACATGTTTGCTCTTTTGATGTGTTTCACGATAATATTGGAGTGGGGAGGCCTGAAGTTTGTATCTAGGTAGGATCGAGAAAATACAAGCGAGAACAGATTATTCGGCCTATGCCCATTCTCTTATCGACTAGAAGAATGGCCAGATCTGTGGAACAAATTTTAATTTTGTGATGACCATGTTTTGTCAAACGGGTTAAGCGGGGAGCGATGCGGACAGAGCACGGAGAGATGATGTTAAAGTTCGGTTCGGGCTGAGTCTGCCTGCCCGCTTTCGTCCATATATATATTTCTTCCGGACCCCGCATTTCCCCCTTGGTGTCTCGGACGAAGAGGAGATGAACACACTGCTGTCATATATCAATTTAGGCGACGGTGGAGATATGTATATACATGTGTGTGTGTGTGTGTCACTCGTTCACCTCTTCATGAACCCCAGGCTCTCAGACCCGTCTCTCAAGCTTCAACTCAGGTCAGGTGCCAATCTCTCCCTTCCTCTCCAACCCACCTCTCTTTTCTTCTTCTTTTGCAAGTTGACCACTAATTTCAATCAACATTTTCTACAATTTGAAGAAAAGAAACACCATAGAACACAGTTTTGCAGATAAACTACTACCTTTAACACGTTACCATCATGAAAAAGGGATGTTTACATGTACATGGAACGCTTTTGTGGAGATGTCTCTACCGACGGCCAGGATTCCTGTTCCACGGACCACGACAAGTAGGATGGATCTCCCAGTCGCCTGAAACCACCAAACACAAAATTACTCACTCTCTCCTCTTCATCATCAACACAATTATCTAGATATATATAGCCTACAATCTTTTTACTCGGACATGCAATCACCAAAAGCAGCCGTACCTAATTTCACGAGATACATGGCAGGTGAATGCGATGGCCAAGAAAAAGCAGACCCCACCCACAGTCAGGTAAGCAATGCCCAGGAAATCGTTCTTGCCACCCAGCCAACTGGTCGTCGACAAAACCAGCTTCTTCTTCCCGTTGAAACTGTAGGTGTTGTAGATGTTTTGCAGTGTCACATGTATGGCATCACCTGCCTCCAGGTCCATCTCTATCTTCCCGTACAGCTTCCTAAACGTCAGACGGGCTGCAGTCCTCATCCACACAATCAGGTCTTCTTGCTCACTCAGCTGCACACCCCAGAAATGGGATGTGAATGGGAACTTGGGTAACCTCTTACTGGTGTGTTTGGAACTAGGCTCGCCCCACTTGTCAGATTTCCCTTCTGAAAGTTCTTGGGGAATACATTTTTTCCAAACTTGTGTTCCCTATCGCTCTTCCATGTGACACCTTTCTTGTTTACATCTATACGTTGGTTGTTCCTCGACAAAACATACATGTCGTTGAAGAGACTCCACGCAATTAGACCACACGGCACAATCGGCTCCCCTCCAATCTCGTCCTCAGGCTTGCATGAATCTACCTTATTCTCATATTTTGGACTTCTCAACTGTGAATCACTTCTGCTTTTCACATACCTGGTTGGAATATATATATCAATTCATACTATAGCATTTGGTGCATGTTGCCCCGACAGATCCATGCAAACCGTCCTCTCTACATGTTTGGTGTGTTAGGTGTAATTGTTTCCACCAAATGTAGAGCACATATAATGCAACCAAGAAACCATCACTGGACAAGACAAATGCCATAAAAGCAGCAAAAAAGAGAACATACTGGCGGTGATTCTGGTAGAAGTTCTCAAGCTGGTAGTAAACATAGACAGGCTGCTTCATTCGCTTTGTCACCTGAACAACATGAAACGAGGAAAAAAAGAACACATAAAATAAGTTAATTTTGAAGCAGAAAACTATGTTACTGCATAGGAAACTCACTCTCAATGTTCGATTACAAGTTTTATGCCCAGGTCCTTGTATGTATGCAACCTTGTTAGCTCTAGCAGGTGCTGGAATTAATGCAATCGTTGTCGTACCTATCAACAATCTAAACAACCTGTGCATTGGAGACAAAACACATGAGATATAGAAATGATGAGGAGAAACTGAAATGTAGTATTGGCCTATCGGCACGTACATCCTGGGAAGCGAAAAGAGAGATAACTCCAAGGGGAGTGAAGATAACACTAACGATCAAAAATGTCGATATCACCTGCACAGAGGAAATAAGGTGGTGGAGATTCAGTCGTTTTTCTACGAAATCTCGAACTGATGGATGAGTAGAGATTGCAAAATATGCTGCTAGCGAAATAAAGAAACTTACCCAACAGGGCGTAAGAATCGGCTTGCAAGCTGGAAGCTCCCGCTGCGTAAACCTTGAATCTGCAAGGGTTCATTTGCGCCAAGTAGCCAATGCAATATTAGCCTTTCAGGATCTTATCTGATTTCCTACACAGAATTTGTGCTTGCGACGAGGACGTAAAAAACCTTACTAACGATTTCGCTAAAATCCCTAGAGAATTTGAGGGAACCGAATCTAAATTGCTCGCTTGCAGCAATCCTGCATGGTAAACGCTTCAAACAAAGCGCAGAAATCCTGGCAATGAGTTAAAAGCCCTAGAGAACATAAGCAAATCCAGAGATGACGATAAAAATGTTAGAAGAATCCACAGTAAATAGGAGAGAGAGAATCCATATCGACAAACAGCAAGGAGTCAACGATAATCCCAGCAAAGAGGAGAGAGAGAGAGAGAGAGAGAGAGGAGGAGAAATACACTTGGGTCGCTTAGAATTCCTCCGGGCGGCGGAGGAATCAGCCGATCCAGCGGCCCCCGCGCTGGACGAAGCCGTAATCGAACTCATCGCCGAGAAATCGCCGAGTGGTTGATGAATTAGTAATTGGAGTCCCCATACGTGGATTTAAGAATAAAACCTTGGTGGATACTTAATAATATGCGTCGGATGAAATTTACATCTGAAGTTGGGCTTTAGAAAATGGACCGAATTGGATATTCATCAGAATGGGCCTTTCAGGGTCCATCCGGGGAACTAAAAACACCAATAAATGGAAACGGTTTTCCAGCTGAAATTTGCATTCGCTAAGCATATTATTATTTATTTTTTTTGTCAATATCCAACTTCCCCCAATTTTAATTGAGAGAGGATCTTATACAAATCTTAACTAACATTTCGTGCGTTCTTTGTGAAACACAGGATTATGTCATTTGAGCTTATGCAAGGTCCGATTTGTAAATAAGATTGACAAGTAGTATAATTGGTCGATTATTCATATATAGGAGAAAAATCAACCCAAAAGGGAATATATTCATTTAGAAGAATAGGTTCTGTGACGGCACATAAAGGTGCACGCGCTTGAACTATAAGCAAAGACGGCTTTAACATTATTGCATATATGTGTATGTAAAATCCAAATACTTGTGTATATGCTTAATGAACTAAGTGAAATATGGACTTTGTTCCGATATTAAAGAGATATAGGCAGGCGAATATTTCAATCAGAATTAAATTAAACAATATTGGCGAAAATAATATTTCTTTGCTTGGCATCTAAGTCTTCCATACGGTCGGGTTGCATGAGTGTTTCTTATTTCATTAATTCAGAAGGACCCCTTTTTCATTCCGGAAATTATATGGGGTTTTCCCCCTTACGTATACATTGGCATGGATTTCACATTTGGCAAATCTACCCTAAACAATTGTGATATCATGTGGTAATGTGTTCTGTATAAGTTAATGTTTTTGCATTGTTTTTATTTTTTTGATAATACAGTGAATTTAATTATTTAAATGTTTGATAACGGGGGAAGATCAGTGTACCACAGCTTTTGTGAAGGACAAATAAATATAATATTTGGTACACAGAAAAATAAAAAAGGTTTTGGTTTAAGTGGCAGAAATACCAACTATTTGGTGGTTTAGTGGTTGAAAGTGATAAAATCATTTCAAAATCATGTGTTCAATTTTACTAGTGGGGAGGAGGGAACACTTAGTTGCGTGATTACGGACATATGAGATTAAGTAGATGGAAGACACAAATCTCCTAATTTTTTTTTAAAAGTCGTATAAATGGGAACGTGCTTGCGGAGATTCTGTATATAAAGTGGTCTAATTAAGAATCTACCGTAAACCATAAACTCCCTGTTTGAATATATTATATGTAATGAAAATATTTTCCTTTCCTTTTGTTTTTGTTGTTTTCCTTTTTCAAAATATTTAGAGTTAAATAATATAAATCGAATTGTTAGCATTATCATAAGGTACCACGACATTTATCGTCCGAGAGTGAACAATAAACAATCACGTACAGCAACATTCAAGGAGGAAATATATGCATGAGCATATGATTAAGCGTCAGTAAAAAAAAAAGGATATATGCAAAGTATGAAAATTGTCATAAGATTGGCTTATATATTCTTGGGGGATTAGGGCGCGGGGTAAGTAAAAAGTTGTTGAATGAGATTAATTAGGGTTCAATGGAAGAGGCGTAACTGAAATAGACATGGCTTTTATTTATTCGTTTATTCGATATATTTTAATTTTATGGAACTCTGAGACAATTGATTAAATAAATGCAAGGGGAGGTCTGTTCGCTCTCATATTGAGAGAGAGAGAGGAAGGGTACGCTGGTGTTGTCGTCGTGTTTAAATACATGTATAAGATCGATCGATAAATAATAATACTGAAGATAAAAAGAGAGAGAAGAATATGATGGGGATGATGAACGAGAGCAGAGGGATGTGTGTGGACGGGGACTCGGGTCTCGTCCTCACCACTGATCCCAAACCTCGTCTCCGTTGGACCGCTGAGCTTCACGAACGCTTCGTCGACGCTGTCTCCCAGCTCGGCGGCCCCGACAGTACGCACCTTTCTCTTCTATATGTTTCATTACATACACACGCATGCATGCATCTCGCTTCTTTCTTTCTTTTTAACGACGATATATATAATATGGATCGGCCCTATATCAAGTGTATTGATGAAATAACCCTGTTGTGATATATATAGAGGCGACACCTCAAGAGCCATCTCCAGGTTTGGTTTCTCACTTGATGTTTGCGATGGTACAAATATGAGGTACAGTTACGAAGTTAGTGCATGTGTTGGATTCTCAGAAATTCAGGCTTGGGAAGCAGCCTCACAGGGAGCACTCTATCAAAGATACTAACAGAGGTGATTAGTTCTGCCGGTTTCCTTCTTTTCTCCTGACCAAGGACTGGCGAAAACATCTTTCCATTGATTAGATGTATTATCGGTGATACCAATACAAGAACTGAAATCTAATTTGAGTTGTTGTTTCATATATCAAGCGCAGCTTCGATGTTGGATCTTCAACGAAATACCGTATTCTCCCCTGGCATAATTAGTCATAATACGAGCGAGTATGTGACCATGCAATTTACTTATGTTCCCCCCTTCCTGCCAACCTTTTTTCACTTGCAATCATCTGGTCGTCAGGATGCAGATGGAGGTCCAACGGAGGATTCATGAACAGATAGAGGTACTTTTTTCTGCGTCCTATGAAATCTGTAAATCATCGAGCGAGCATTTCTGAATGGACTTCGTGATAAATTCGATGAAAAAGAATAAAAAAAACATACGAGTTTTTTGACAGCTACATATATATATGTATATGTATATGCAGGTGCAGGTGCAGAGACACCTTCATCTAAGGATAGAAGCACAGTCGATGTTAGAGAAAGCTTGTCAGACCCAAGCAACCCTCAAAGGAGGTCATCAACCTCTCTTGTTCCAATATCATCATCTAAACCCATATGACGCTAATGATGGAAACAAGAGCTCAGTCCTGTGGGTAGAAGAGCCGTCCTCTTCCCAGCTGCTTGGATCTGAATCTGTTGGTAAAGATATCGATTCCACGTTACATCTTTACGACATGAAGCCAAATTTCTCTGAAGATGCTCCGACCACTCATCGCACACCTTGCCTTGGATAGAACATGATTGCTTCTCTGACACTTACTACTTGACTGTATAATACAAGGATGTTTGTTGAGGTTGTAATATACGATTCTCGGAATAAGTGGGCCGTCTAAGGCTTTTGAATAGGCCCATCGGTCAAAGTGATGTTTGACTTGGTTTACAAAGTAAAGGTCTGGGTTTCCTTGTCCCTTCTCACACTTCACCTCCATCTCCCCCACAAGGGTTGACTAATCTGTTATTATTCGTTTTTTTCCCTCCACCCTTGTACATTCTCGTATATGAATAATATTTAATTTACTGCATTTTTGTATCTACATTCAATATTCCCAATCTTTGCATATCCAAAACATACAAATCGCCGATCTACTTTCTTTTTAGTTTTGTTTTATAAAATGTAAAACAAACAGTTTCTTTTTGCTTTCAGGGAATGGTAATTTGTGTCTTCCCCTTCAATCCAGAACCATGTTAAGCAACTGACTTGGACAGTGATCCTTAGTTGTTCCGTGTCTGTTGTCAAAGAGAGAAAAAAAAAAAAACTTCAATCACACAAAAGGAGCTTGAGCTTGTTGGTTACAAGACCATGTTTCTTCGATAAACAGCTAATTCCTTTGTCCAGGACAAAATATATCCATTTCCAATAAGTAACATCAGATGTGACGTTGAATTTTTACATAAATAGACAATTTATCTAGTTTATTACCCGGCCGTATTATCCATGATTGTCAATTGTCATCCATCTTTTATTTTTTTTCCCAGTTTGCTCGCATGATTTCTACATATCTCTACGTGATGAATATTCAATTGTATCGATAGTCTTTTTCGTTGGAATGTAGTAATATTACAGATATGGTATCAATATTTTATCTCCGTAATTACCCTTAAACATATGTTGTTATAATTATCTCATGTGGTTTACTGAAATTAATTAGTTAATTGGTATGTGGCGGGCATATATTCAGGGCTGGGGGAGTTATTAAGAGATAAAAAAGATGAGCCAGTGTTGCACTCAACCAGTTGCCCAGGATAAGGGTTTATCCAAAAACCATAAAACAATTATTCAATAAAATAATATGTCTAGGACTAAGCAAGATGTTAAACTGAAAAAATGACCCATCTCAATGGAAAAACAGGCTAGAAGACGACAAAGACAGCTAATTTGTACCTTGATTTAGATAATTAAGGATATATATAGTACATTAATTAGAGTGATGGGTGATTATAAGTTAATTAACAGCATTTGCAGTAATCATATATTAATGCATAACGATTGAATGCTGCCTTTTGGCGTGCTAATCAAGTGCAAGGAAACTAACTTGAATCAAATGATTAAAAAAAACGTTTATAAGGAAGAAAGGGATACAGGAAGCAAAATTCAGAGATATATGCAGAATTACGTACACACACCTGCAAACATTTATTTCCCATTTTCTCCAACTTCATGTTTGTAGTAAGAAAACAAAATTGTTAACACCAACACCTGGCAATGGCGAACGTTAGTCAGCACTATATATACCCGAATGGGATCCAATATAATCTCTAATAATCATGCGACCTGATCTCTCTCGAAAAAAAAAGGAAATCTTCAAGCTAATTACGAGACGGTCATTAACTCAGATAAATCGAAAAGGTGGTTAGACACAAAAACAAAATCTCTAGACCAATACAAATGAATATATATGTTACGTATATGTATATGTATGTCCGTTTCGAGATTATTGTCTGGTTCTTCCGGAGACACTCGGAATTAGGTAAGAAAACAAGCATTCTTATTCTTAGCCATAAATTACTTTAATATAATATTCGACAATAATCCGTTGGAATATTCAACCCAATATTTCTTGGGAAACTGAAGTAGCAGCCATATGTTTAACACAAAAAAAGTAGCAACCATATATCAAACTACACGGTACCATTTCTTCCATTTGGATGCAAACATATACACACACACCAGGGATGGATACGAGACTGAGTAAAAGAAAACCAACCCTTACGAAACACAATGATGATAATAAAAAAATAAGAATAAAGTATACTTTTTTTTTGGTAAAAAAATAAAGTATACTTAACAAAACGGACAATTAATGTCAGGTCAAGAAGGATCTATTCATTAACAACGCTTCATTAACTAAAGAGAATTAAAGGAACGAATAATAAATACGAGAATCTTGTTCACTTATACATATATAACGTACCTATGATCATCAATCTTTTTTTTTTTTGTGTTAAAACGTATGATTAATATTTTTGTTTGCACAAAAACTCCCCTTCTTGTTGACATATGATCAATATCTTTAATTATGTTTTGCACATAAACTTTATACAGGGGATAAATCAGTCTTCTGTATTCATACAAACGAATAAGATCAGTTTTTGGATTAGGTGCAGATAATTCGTGTTAACTGTGAAAATTCAACGACAAGTAAGCTTTTTATAAATTTATATATAATATAGTATTATATCAGCATGAGTATAATAAACATATTGACAAATTGAAATGGAGGGTCGAAACCTTTGCTGTCACGCGTAAAATAGAACATACGGCGTCTATATCAAGTAAAACTTTGACCGAATTCCAAGAGCCAAGAAACAAGAGTACTTAATTGTTTGGTAATATTTTAAGTTGGAACCCTAAAACATTCATCATAATAAATAAGGTAATTGAAAATATTCATGCAGCTTTAATTGGGGTTTCTCTTCCAAAAGAAGACACAATCTTTTTCCAAAAGCAAAATTCGGTAAATTTACGTTGGCAAGAAAGGCAGCTCGTATCAATTATTTACGATATATAAATAAAGCATTATATATGGTGCTTGGATATATATAACATATGCTGCTCTACGAAGATTAATATGTCTAGATGCAAACATTTTATAGATGATGTTTGATCTGAATGATTATTTTGTGCATAAATGAATAAATAAATGAAAGAGATCAAGAAGTGGAATGATAGTGAGCAAGGAAACGGGCTAGCTAGTGTCATGGAAACTTCCAGTTTTGAAACAAAGAATGGAATGGAAGAGGAGATAGGTTCTCTTATTGTTATTGCCGCACGAAACTAACCTTATATTTTATTGAATAAGAAAATGGCCAAATATAAAAGTCGAAGGGAGTATAAAGAGAGAAATAGACGGAAGAGAGAAGAGGGTAGGATTAGGAGGGTGGATGAAAGATGGGGCACAGATGCTGCGGCAAACAGAAGGTGAAGAGAGGGCTTTGGTCCCCCGAAGAAGACGAGAAGCTGCTTCGTTATATCACTTCGCATGGCCATTCCAGTTGGAGCTCTGTCCCGAAGCTCGCTGGTGTGTGTGTGTGTGTATATACCATATATATCTCTATACATACATAAGACCAACGTACCCATCATAAATGATTAATATGTGGTCTAGGTCTGGAGAGATGCGGAAAGAGTTGCAGGTTGAGGTGGATAAACTATCTCCGCCCTGATCTTAGGAGAGGCTCTTTCACTGCCGAGGAAGAGCAGATCATCATCGATGTTCACCGCATTCTAGGCAACAGGTATTGGTGTGTGTGTGTATATATATATATATCCTTCTTGTAACTGTATATGTCAAATAGAAAACAACTACAAGGTTATATATGTGCGTACAGATGGGCACAAATAGCGAAGCATCTGCCAGGACGCACAGACAATGAAGTGAAGAACTTTTGGAACTCATGTATAAAGAAGAAACTAATGTCTCAAGGCTTAGACCCACGAACTCACAACCTGATGCCTTCCCACAAGAGAGCTTCCTCCTTGCCATCTAATGATAATAAGGCCAAGGCCAAACATCACCGTCCACTTGATGATCATGAAACCTTCTCAATCATCAAAGACTCTCCTTCCATCAAGATCAAACCTTCTCTTCCAACTACCATGAATAATCCTCCAACTTACGATTCTTCATCGATAATGCTGGGCCTTTTCGATGAGAGTTATCCAGACAGCTGGGACGTTGCTTTCGGCCGACAGTTTCAAGAAGATCCCATTCCGGTTGAGCGTGGAGACACCATTGATGATCAAAGTCAAACGCTCGACGTTACCAACATGGATGTTTCCTTCGATTGCTCCACTTTTGATCCTGATTTTGCTGCACTCTTCTCCTCTATGGAATGGTCCTTTTAATTATTCACAATGTCCACGCACATATAATGCACAATCAAGTGCGTATATATGTTGTATAGGTTTTGCTTGTTAATAAGCCGAGATATCCATATTAGTCCAATCGATTCCATTTATTTGGGTCATAGCCCACGTTTTCATATTCAAAATATATTTGATCCTATGGAAATAATCATCACATGGGCTTTGCATGGCCCAAATCATGGTGTCGAAAGAGTAACAAGGCCCAACACATTCGCTCCACTAAAAAAAAAAAAAAAGGATTACATATGGTTTTTGCGATAGGAAAAATGAAACCACAATCGACCGCTATTGATTCTCCACCTAAGTTTATAACGAATTGAAGTAAAATGTAATGTCATTAATTGTCGAAGCAATCGACGTGTCCTGAAGAACACAAAGAGAAGATCTCTTCGAGTGGTCAAGATTCTAATGACTTGGCTTATCATCCGACAACATGGTGGCAAAACTTTGGTGATGGTTTAAACGCGCCTAATAGATTAAAACAAATCGATTTGGATTTTAGGTGATGAGCGAAAAGGGCATATTTGGACACATAGGCGTGTATATTAAAGTCCCAAACAAGGTAAATATAATAAAGAGATAATTCATGCATATAGCCTAACTAAATTTTATCCTCACAAAAACACGTATTTATGGCAACCCTTTCTGAATCAACAGATTTTAGGTTAATTTAGGAAAAGAGAGGAAGAAGCGGCATTCTTTGCGTAGGCCTTTCTTGTTTGAAGCTATGGTCATTTCCCCATTTTCTTTTCTTCAAATCTTCTCTTGGGGTTGAGGGGAGCAAGAGATCGAGGTCCTCCTCCACATTCTTGATTTCCCGGCGACATTGTAATCTTCAAGCCTTTTTTTTTAAAAAAATTTACGTACAAGTAATAATCGCCTCTCTTTTTCTTTCTTTGGGTGAAATAACAATACGTCTAAATGTAATAAAAATATTACAGCAAAGGATAACTTTCTACCATGTGTGATTAGTAAGCTGTGTTTGGGGTAGGAGGGTAACAACGCTTTTTCTTTTGGTTTAAGGATTTGAACATGTTCTGATACGGAAGGAGTTGTTGTCGGATCGGATTGTCTCTCCTCCAGTGCCCTCAAACCCCGTAAGGACGCCTCCTGACTTATCTCACGTTAAGAGTCTTCTGAGTTTTATCAGTTTTCGCTTGAACCTGTGCATTGGTAAACTACAGCTATCTCCAGAACTTTTATGGGCTAACGTTCATATAGGAATGATCGCATATGACTAAGACCAATCTCATCATAAACATGTCGTTTGTCCAAGGCTGTCTTGGTTTTTCTTTTGTTCTTCTTACATCTTTTGGTATTGCAGGGGTGAGACGAGAACAAATGGACTTAGCCTCGAATAAGAATACAGTACCATTAAACCCAAAGAAGATGGAGCCAATCCCAAAACCAAAGTCCCCAGCTGGTGTGAGCCATTTTTCTTTCAAACTTTGCGATAACGTTCCTAGAAACCCTCACTTCGACCCCAAGAAGATGGATCCTCTGGCAAGACCTGAACCACGCTCTGTCAAATACCAATCTACAAAGTCTCCCGAGACTGAGACTGATTCTAACAAGTTCATCAAGGCAGATTCCACCACCCACAGCGATAAGAAGATAAATCATCATCTCCTTCGATGGACCAACGGTAATGTTGATTCAAAGTTCAACAACACAGAAACCGATAGTTTGACGGCCCCGATCAAGCCTCACACGGGAGGGGACGTGAGGTGGGATGCCGTCAACTCAGTTGCTTCAAGAGGAACCCAAATGGGCCTTGACAACTTTCGACTTCTGAAACGTTTGGGGTATGGTGACATCGGCAGTGTCTACCTCGCCGAGCTGCGAGGGACTGCCACATTTTTCGCCATGAAAGTCATGGATAAGGCTTCTTTGGCTAGCCGAAACAAGCTGTTGAGGGCTCAGACTGAAAGAGAGATTCTCTCCTTGCTTGATCATCCCTTCTTGCCTACCCTTTACTCTTACTTTGAGACTGACAAGTTCTACTGCTTGGTTATGGAGTTTTGTAGTGGCGGCAATCTATATTCCCTGAGACAGAAGCAGCCCTGCAGGCGTTTCACTGAAGAGGCAGCAAAGTAGGAGTAACACTGCAGGCTTTTTATCTTATCCTCCGATGATATGGATTTTTTGTTTGTTTGTTTGATGTGGGTGGATGTGGTTGATGAACAGGTTCTACGCGTCGGAGGTGTTATTGGCACTGGAGTATTTACACATGCTGGGAGTTGTGTACAGGGATTTGAAGCCGGAGAATGTTCTGGTGCGAGACCAAGGCCACATCATGCTCTCTGATTTTGACCTCTCCCTGCGATGCTCCTTCAACCCAACCCTCGTGAAATCCTCCTCAGTAGGAGGAGGAGGCAGCAACGGGTCTGGGGCTATCCTTAACGAAGACTCTGCCGTCCATGGGTGCATGCAACCCTCGGGGTTCCTGCCGCGTCTGCTACCATCCAAGAAATCCCGAAAGGCGAAATCAGACTCAGGAATAGGAGGGGGAGTGCCGGAGCTAATGGCTGAGCCGACTGATGTAAGATCAATGTCGTTCGTGGGGACGCATGAGTACTTGGCACCCGAGATCATACGAGGGGAAGGACACGGCAGCGCTGTTGACTGGTGGACCTTCGGGATATTCCTGTACGAACTGTTGCATGGGACGACGCCGTTCAAGGGACAGGGCAACAGAGCCACACTGCACAACGTGGTGGGGCAACCGCTTAAGTTTCCGGAGAACCCACAAGTGAGCCCTGCGGCTCGTGACCTCATAAGGGGGCTTCTGGTTAAAGATCCTCACCGGAGGATCGCTTACACGCGCGGAGCCACCGAGATAAAGCAACACCCTTTCTTCGAAGGCGTGAATTGGGCTCTGGTGAGGAGTGCCTCACCTCCCCACGTCCCCGACCCCGTCGACTTGTCGGCTTACGTCTGCAAGGGAAAGAAGACCGAGAAGCAAATCTTGACATGTGCTTCTGGTCCCACCGATGATACGGCTTACGTTGATTTTGAGTACTTTTAGGCACCTTTTTTTTCCCCTTCTTTCTCTGTAATATATATTACCATCTTTCAGCCAGATATACTTGAATTCATATATACAGGAATCAGATACACACTTCTAACACGGGGTATTTGACACAACCGTTATACAAGTTGGATTATTTTTTTTACCTTCAAGTTCTTTTGCTAATAATTGTCTAAGATCCGTATGCTTCTTCTGTCAGTTGTTTTTCTGCGTTCTTCTATTGTCTCCAATAAAATCGTACTGACTAGCCAGCTTGTTGTGTTGGAAGGGATCCATATATATCTATGAATACTGAAGAGTTCATCGATGCTGTTGTAGCGTTGGAGTCAAGAACAAGATTGCTAGCATTTGGTCTGGCCTCAAAAGCCCATCTGCGATGCTGAATTGCTAGCATTTGGTTTTGGTTCCTTTCTTCTAGAGTCATCTGTTTAATAAGATATAAGGAGGGTTCATGACCATGAATACTTCAATCAATCAATGCCCTTCCTCTTAGTTTGAAGTAAATTCTTGCACTTGTGCTGGTGGTGCAGTGTACCAAAAACCAAAAAAAAAAAAAAAAAGGAAAGAAGAAATCTCCTCCCAGACGGAAAAGCTTCTGAATTGTTCATCATTGACTCAATTGTGTTGTAAATGTGCGAGCTTTTGTATGAGAGCTGAACAAATGGCTACGCTACTAAACTCTTTGTCAAGATTTTGACCAAAAAAAAAAAACTCTGTGCTCAGAAGAAGGAGAGAGAAGGGGGGTTGAAAGTAAAAAGAAATTTATTTAAGGGGCAACAACAAAAACTCTCAACCATACAAACTTGCTCTAAAATTTATGGGCATCTGGATCCGAGCTCTTTTTGTTCTTTGTAGAGACCAAAAGTAGCAACACTCCGATATGTTTAACAAAAGTAGAGGACCCTCTTAGGGTTTTATCGTTTGTACAGCTACGCCCTGCACACCCTACGCATCCGCCTCCACCGCCTAAGAACAGCCTCTCCTCGAGCCTTCACCTCCCCGATTCAACGTTTCGCTACTTGGGTCGGAAGCTTTGAGCCAGTATTCCTCTTCCATAGCCTCCACCATGTACCACCACCTGTTGAATAATACGGCCTCGCATTTGGGGTATTCGCAGCTGCTGCAGCATCAGGACACATGGCCTCCTGGCGTCGAGGTTCCCTCCGCTCCCGGCGTCAAACGCACCTCCGAAGGTTTGTCCTTTTTCTTTTTACGTCTGACATCTGCTTCCGTTTCTGGTTCATTTCTTCTATATCATGTGGGACGACTCGAAAGTTAGGAGTTAATTTCATCATGGTCTCCTTAATCGCAGCAGTGATTTGACCAGATCTAGCGGTTCATCATGGTCTTGGGCTTCATGTTCAATTTAAAGATAGTAGCTTAATTTGCATTTTGGATGAACATATATACTGGTTTATGTTCTGTTGTGCTTTCGGTAGCTGAAACATAGGTTCTGGAAAATGGATTACTTGCATCCCTTTTGTTGTACTGTGGGCAATCCAAAGCTTAGAAATCTGAATCAAGCCCCTAAGGCCATATATACTTACAACTTCTTATTAAAGTATTGGTATGTAAACTAAATACCTCCTTATATCAGAATCTCTTGGTTAGTCTGCTTTAGAAATGCCTGAGAACGGAGATAAACCCCCAGTTTTTGTTTGTCATTTACTTTGTATTTCATAGCAGAACACTCGGTGATCTGCAAAACCGATATCTTGTTGCAACTATATGGTTTTAAAGTAAAGGGCTTTCTATAAGGATTGTATATAAACCAGAATTTTCTTACAGCTTTTACATCTATCTAAAGCTATATTTTGCCGTATTATAGTCTCTCCTAAATGTTACTACTCCAAAATCTATTTTCAAAATCTACATACACAGCAACATATATTTTCTCATTTTGTTGTATATTTATTGTCTATATGTACTATATAGCACTACTATCCTACTGTCTTGGGTGTCCATAACACAATTGGTCAAACCGAGGCTTGGTATACTACAGACTATTTAACCAAGCGCTCTAAGTTGGAGAGTACGGACCATTTGCCTATTTATCCACAGAGGCCCGGGGAGAAGGATTGTACCCACTATATGCAAACAAGAACATGTAAATTTGGAGATAGCTGCAAGTTTGATCATCCTATTTGGGTTCCTGAGGGTGGAATCCCAGATTGGAAAGAGGTGATCGTTTACCACTATCTAAGTATTTATCATGTCTACTATGATGTTACTGTTATACTGTGAGAGAGGTTTGCTTTGACTCTTGTAGTGTAGTATGTTTAAAGTGCTTAATACCGTGACAATTTGTCTGTTGTTCCTTTTTAACTAAACAATGTGCATTGTTTGGCTTTAGTTGTAACCTGTGTTACAAGATATCTTGACTACGTCAACAAGAACTTGTCTAGAAAACATTTTACGTAAGAACTGTGATTCTGGCTTTCACTTTTTCAAGATCCTCGTTTTTCCTAGGCTGTGATGAGACATGTTACTCACTTAGTTATCAGGCTAGAATCAGGATAATAAGAGAACTATTTCTTTTTGGGTTGTCACTGTACCCTGACACGGATTCTTGTTCAGGCACCGCTTGCACCAAACGAACCGTACCCTGTGAGACCAGGAGAACCAGATTGTCCTGTAAGTGGATCTTAAACCCTTTGCTAGCTATTTTAACTCCTTATGTGTTCCTGAGGATTTGGGTTATTAATTTATCTTTGCTGGACAGTATTATTTGAAAACGCAACGCTGCAAGTATGGTTCTAGGTGCAAGTTTAATCATCCAAAAGCAATGACTGCAGTATGTGATTGTCCATTCCATTTCTGATGCGCTATTTTTCTCCTAGGTTGTGCTTGCACATAAAGAGCCTGATGCTTTTTAATATTTCAGGGCACTTTGGATTACTCTGATGCATTGCCTGACAGGCCCTCCGAGCCCCCATGTGCTGTAAGATATCTATATATGTCTGTCTATCCATCTGTATGTATCTTCAGTTCTCTCTCCTGGATTTAATAGGATTTGTTTAAGAATTTGTGATTTAACTCCGCAACAGTTCTACATGAAGACTGGAAAATGTAAATTTGGGCCAAGCTGCAAGTTTCACCACCCGAAGGATATCCAAATATCATATTCTGGCCAAGAGACTGGTAGCAGTGAGGGTTTGACCAGTCTCACATTCACCCCAGCGCCCTATCACAACTCCAAAGGACTACCTGTTAGACCGGTAACATTTCCATCTTCACATTGCATAAAGATGACATGCTATCTTATGTGAACTATCTAGAAATCCTAGGTAGGTATGATAGACAATTCTTTCTTAAACTTCTAGCCTTGTGCGCGGATACAACTTCTACTAATGGGATTGTAGCTTTTGTTTCTGACAGGGTGAAGTGGACTGTCCATTCTACCTCAAAATGGGAAGGTGAATATCATTTGACTGGATATTATAGATTTCGTTCCTGAAAAGCCCAAAAAGATAATAAAGAAAAAATGGTGAGAGATATGCCCCTTTATGATCAGAAGAGTGACAAGAAACGGCATCTCTTAATTCAATGACACCAAAGGGATATTAAATGAATGGAATGACAGGAGACACTAAGAAGTTAGTATTCTAACTTGTTTTCTCTTTTCATGATCAGTTGCAAGTATGGGCCCACCTGCCGCTACAATCATCCTGACAGGACTGGTTTGTGAGCCTGTCTCATGTCAAGAATTTTGGTATCTGTGTTTTAGAATCTTTAATGTGTCGTTTGCCATCTTAACCCGGTGGTATTGTTATTGTACAGCATTTGTCCCACCGGCTGCTGGGATAACCTATCCTCTAGTGGCATCAACAGCTGCGAATGTTAACCTCGGGGTTGTTACTCCAGCTGCCTCCCTTTATCAACCCACGGTAGGAGGGTGTACTCTCATATTCTGGAAAATGTGACAAGATCAATCAGTTTCTTTAGAGTCAATTAAATTCGAGAATGTTGCAGATTGGTGTCTACCCACAGCGGCCTGGACAAGCAGAATGCGATGTAAGTATTTCTTGTGAAACATACTGATCAGTCTCTTTAGTGGTTATTGTTTATCAATGTTTGAGTTTTTTTGCAGTACTATATGAAGACGGGGGAGTGCAAGTTTGGAGAAAGATGCAAGTTCCACCACCCGATTGACAGATCTGCTGCCGCAACTAGCAAACAAGCTTCACAGGAGAGTGTGAAGCTCACTCTTGCAGGGTATCCCAGAAGAGAGGTACAATACAGAAGCTGTTTTATTTGTGCTTAAGAATAGTGATTTTGCTAATCCACGTGTGCGCAGGGTGCAGTTCATTGCCCTTATTACATGAAGACAGGGATGTGCAAGTATGGGGCGGCATGCAAGTTTGATCACCCTCCTCCGGGCGAGGTCATGACGAGGACAACGACTTCACTGGAAACTTGTTCAGAGGATAACTAAAAAACTGATGTAAGCTTCAACTTGGAGCTTTCTTTGCCTTTGTTGTGTGTGTGTGTGTGTGAGAGAGAGAGTATGTCTGAAAAAATGGTGCTGTTTGTAGTATCCTTCCTTGCTCATGTGAGATGATGACTGGAGAGGCATTTATAATTCATTTCAATTGCGTTTCTGTTTTGTCTGAACATCTTCGGTGGTATGTATGCCCAGCTTCTCTTCTAGCAATCTTCTTGTCTGTGCTTCTCTTCTCTTTGGTAAATCTCATCTCCTTCACTTCCTTGGATGAGTATTTTGATTACCCATTGAAGTTGAACTTACCAAATTATAAGATTGATACGCAGCACTTTTGAAAATCACTCTGCAATTCATCCCCCAGGAAGAGATTCCTCATGTTAGTTTGTATAACCAAACAGATTACATTCTTTTAAGAAATCGGTTTCAAATTCTTACGGCAATGGCATGCTCAAAAGATCTTGACTTTCTTTTCACTGTTTCCGAGAAAAATGAATTGATCCATATAGTAATGATTTTTAGGGAAAAGATTTTTGAAAAAGGGAAGAGTTAAATACGAGGGAGGAGCTTAAGCCGCCGCCTTGCCTAGGAGAAGAGAACCCATTGGCGGTGTTGAAACAAATAATCGCGCTTGTCTTCTCGACGTCTCCTCTTCTTCTGCTGCGTGGGCCGATATCTTCTTCTTTGTCCCATAGGCAAACGGGTCTGTCGTTTTTTTCGACTGAATTCACCTCAAAAGAGATCCGTACCTGGATTAGAGAGAGAGAGAGAGAGAGAGAGAGAGCGCGACTATGAAGTACGTTTTAGTGACGGGAGGAGTGGTGAGTGGACTTGGGAAAGGTGTCACTGCCAGTAGCATTGGCATTCTCCTTCAAGCTTGTGGTCTTCGTGTTACTTCTATCAAGATTGGTACTTTCTCTCTCCTTTCTTCCCCTGCTTCCTCTTTTAATGTCTAGTTATCCCATGGTTTTCTTGTCTCCTCTATGTCACTGTAGAGTGCACGTACTTCTTAGTCTGGTCAAGCCTTGTGATTTTTCCTTGTCCGCAGATCCTTATCTTAATACGGATGCGGGAACAATGTCTCCCTTTGAGCATGGAGAAGTATTTGTGTTAGATGATGGTGGGGAGGTATTCTGTTATTATTCCATCTTGTCTCATATCTGATTCCTGTCTCATTTGTTGCTTGTCTCGCCCTGATAAGCTTGACCTCACGTTTAGGTGGACCTGGACCTTGGCAACTATGAACGGTTTCTAGACAGCACATTAACCCGTGACAACAATATAACCACCGGAAAGATATATCAAGTATTACTTCCCTCATCAGTTGAGTATTTCAATCTTTCTTACAGTACCCAGATTCTAAGTTTTTGCCTCTGATTCCCTACAGTCAGTCATTGACAAGGAAAGGAAGGGGGACTATCTTGGAAAGACCGTTCAGGTTCATACATAATTGCTACTCCCATTCTTTTACTTTCTTTGATTCAGTGTTTGAGTTGAGCTTTTACCTCTCTTAGGTTGTTCCACATATTACTGATGCCATCCAAGAATGGATAGAGCGTGTAGCCAATGTTCCCGTGGATGGAAAAGAAGGTCCTCCAGATGTCTGTGTCATTGAGTTGGGTGGGACCATAGGTAACTTTCGTGGTAATTGTTTCTCGTATTTAATTAAATAGAAGAACTACAAACTTTATCTCTGTTCTGTCCCAGGTGATATTGAATCTATGCCCTTCATTGAGGCCCTTGGTCAATTCTCTTATAGAGTAGGTGAGGCCTGTGCTCTATATTCATTTTTATTTTTGGAGCATTTTGTGAGTGAATATCACGGGAAAGCTTATTCCTTTGTGGCTTCCATCTGTTGTTTTAGGATCTGGAAATTTCTGCTTGGTTCATGTCAGCCTCGTGCCTGTTCTTAGTGTTGTTGGTGAACAGGTATATTTCTATTGTTTCTTTAATTATCTATTGTGAATGTTGTATCTCTCCTATATTAATGTGTACCAATTCTCTATGCAAATTTCGTTTGCAGAAGACAAAGCCAACCCAGCATAGTGTGCGAGGACTCAGGAGCCTTGGTTTGACACCAAATATTCTAGCGTGTCGCAGTACAAAGGTATCTCATAAATGGTGACTATGAATCTATGATAATCCTTGTGTTCGAGGTGTTGGTACTTAACACGGATTCCTTTTTTTTGTAACAGGCACTTGAAGACAATGTCAAGGCAAAACTCTCTCACTTTTGCCATGTGCCGGTATGTGTTGTTGAACTATTGATATTTTTTTCATTCATTTCCTTACAGAACCATTCTCGCACATTCGCTTTCTGAGAAAACGGTCTGCTCTTTGTTTCCCCATGTCCTTCTAGGAAGAGAATATTGTAACTCTCTATGATGTTCCAAATATTTGGCATGCGATCTTACCTTCTTCCCGTAAAGCTAGTTTCTTTACCGGCGTCCATATGATTGTTCTAGGATCTGGAAATTTCTGCTTGGTTCATGTCAGCCTCGTGCCTGTTCTTAGTGTTGTTGGTGAACAGGTATATTTCTATTGTTTCTTTAATTATCTATTGTGAATGTTGTATCTCTCCTATATTAATGTGTACCAATTCTCTATGCAAATTTCGTTTGCAGAAGACAAAGCCAACCCAGCATAGTGTGCGAGGACTCAGGAGCCTTGGTTTGACACCAAATATTCTAGCGTGTCGCAGTACAAAGGTATCTCATAAATGGTGACTATGAATCTATGATAATCCTTGTGTTCGAGGTGTTGGTACTTAACACGGATTCCTTTTTTTTGTAACAGGCACTTGAAGACAATGTCAAGGCAAAACTCTCTCACTTTTGCCATGTGCCGGTATGTGTTGTTGAACTATTGATATTTTTTTCATTCATTTCCTTACAGAACCATTCTCGCACATTCGCTTTCTGAGAAAACGGTCTGCTCTTTGTTTCCCCATGTCCTTCTAGGAAGAGAATATTGTAACTCTCTATGATGTTCCAAATATTTGGCATGTTCCACTGCTTTTAAGAGTAAGTCAAGATCTCTTTTTATTTCTGTGCACTGATCATATCACTGTAGCTTGTTGGTAACTTGGTATGCTGATTTTGTTCTCTTTTCCGGCTTCTGTTGTTAACTTCATCTTAAACAGGATCAAAAGGCTCATGACGCTATCCTGAAAGAATTGAACCTCCTTCGGTTTGTGTTTGGATCACCTTGTCTATATCTTTTCTCTGTGTTTGTTCAAGGTGTCACGGTTCCAGGCTGAAGTTTTGTATATCATGGCTATCTCTTAGTAATCATTTTACATGATCTTCAGCAATGCTACAGAGCCTGACTTGACGGAGTGGACAGAAAGAACTAGAGTTTATGACACGCTGCAGGATCCTGTAAGTAGTGGTTACTGAATGTTTCACATACTTAGCCTGATTTTTGGTTTGAAGTATAGTTGATCTCTTTGGATATATATATATTTCAGGTCAGAATTGCCATGGTTGGAAAGTACACGGGACTAAGCGATTCATACCTCTCTGTGTTGAAGGTGAGTGTGTGGGTCGCTGTATTCGTAATTCAAGCAGAATATAAGTAGAACTTTAGTCCAGCTTCTGTTTTATGCCTGACTTTTTTCATAGCTGGATGTTGGGTATTATATTTGTAATCTAGTATTGACGATTATAAAGAGTTGAGCTTTCTAGTGCATTTTTCACTACAGGCCCTTCTGCATGCTTCTGTTGCATGTCACAAGAAGCTTGTCATAGAGTGGGTTGCAGCTAGTGACCTTGAAGAGGCTGCTGCGATGGAGGTCAGTCTTGTCTGTACTCTGTAGTTGTGTTGCAGTACTCTACAATAATGGCAAACACGTACTTAAATATCCTTAATTTTTGTAAAACTTGGTAATTGATATGTGACAATTGCAGGCGCCGAATGTTCACGAGGCTGCATGGGAACTTTTGAAGGTAAGACAATTATGAATGGAGCATGGCACACCCTTTTGGTACATATATATTCCACTGAGTGGTGGCCTTGTTGCAGGGTTCTGATGGTATTCTTGTGCCAGGAGGGTTTGGTGATAGAGGAGTGCAGGGAAAGATACTTGCGATAAAGTATGCTCGGGAGCATAAGGTCCCATTCCTTGGGATATGTCTGGGAATGCAGTTAGCTGTTGTTGAGTTTGCCCGCTCAGTTCTTGGTTTGCACGATGCAAATAGCACAGAGTTTAACCCTGAAACATCCAGTCCTTGCGTCATATTTATGCCAGAGGTATCGGACCCGTATGCACACATGTAGCTTCCGATTGCTCCAAGTCTTTTAATATCTTCGTCTCTGTTTAGGGATCCAAAACTCATATGGGGGGCACTATGCGTTTAGGGTCAAGGAGGACTTACTTTCAGGTTGCTGATAGTATATCAGCTAAGTTGTAAGGACATAACTCTCTCTCTGTATATGATCAATCTTTGTCGCCTTTGTTTTTATCTTCTCATGTTTTATCTTTGTAGGTATGGCAATGATAAGTTTGTCGATGAGCGGCACCGACACAGATATGAGGTAATAACGTTTCTGGGTGCAATGAGAGCAAATGGTGCTCCTCTTCTCTTCTCCATTTGGAGCCCCTTAAAAGAGAAATTTATTCTTTTTGCAGGTAAACCCAGACATGATAACAGAAATCGAGAAGGCTGGCCTCTCATTTGTTGGCAAGGATGAGACGGGACGACGAATGGAGGTAACATACGTACTTGTGAATGTGGAACATTAAAAGCAAGTTTTCTTTCTTTACCTTGTGTATGTATCATCATCATAACCATTCCGCTGAAGTGCAGATAGTGGAATTGCCAAGTCATCCATACTTTGTGGGAGTTCAGTTCCACCCAGAATTCAAGTCTAGACCGGGAAAACCTTCAGCAGTGTTCCTAGGTGAAATATTCTCAGTCAAACGCTGTCTGAACTGGGAAGGTGGTATTAAATTAAAAATGTGGTGTGGTGGCAGGTCTTGTTGCGGCTGCGTCTGTGGGAACACCAAAGGCTAAAGTCTACCAAAACGGGTCATGGAGAGGAGTGGCTAATGGAAACCACTTCTGATTGAAAACAATTGGTTGGTTTGTGGTGGCATGGGTTCTTTCTTGCATGTACAGACTGTTTGAAGACGTGTGTCTGGGGATGGCTCTGTTTGAAGATTTATATTTTTATGACATAAATCTGATCACTTCATCCAACTCGCACCACCGCTACAAAATATTATTACAAGGGATTCAACGCCTTAACGGGTTCTGCATGCAATTGCTTCATACCACAAAAAATCATCCAACAGGAAAACAAAAATCTACAATAACAGAACCCAATTATAGTAACTGTTCCAAAAAGTTTGGAGATAAACTTGGGACATTAACGCCATCAAGCAGGAAAGACCTAACAGTGCCAATTTGATCAATCGCTGTGGAGAAAGCATGAATACATATAACCATTGCACAAACAGAATGTGTTCATCAGAATCATAGTCCAAAAGGGCACAACACTTATCACCAACATAAACAGTTAGGTGCGCAAAACGGAACAGAAGGATCCAATGTGTAGAGCTGCACAATTTATGTCAACATAGTTGATGAAACTTGTCTTGAAGAGGAGTTAGCACTGGCACCCGATGGACTCTCTTCCTCATATATCATCATGCAAGATTTTCTCAAAGAGCTTCATGTGTTCAGTCTGGAGAGCAATGGCCACAGATAAGCTTCCATCGTTGGCAGAGCTTGGCAGCACAAACGACAATCCCTCGTAGGGAATGCCACCAGGTCCCATAAATATGGGACGGCCCCATCCAAAGTCCGCGTCGTGGATGGGCAATCTGACCCAGCTGGTTATCCCCAGATTCGGACACTTGAAGGTATGCGCACCACGGACCAAAGCCGAGAGATCAGGCTGCATCTCCAGGTAGTCAAGAGCTGACCTCAAATACTCATTGTCCATGCGGACCAGCGCATTATGAATCTGTCCTGCCGCATACCATGTGGGTTTGGAGTGAAGATCCCCAGCCACGGCAACTGGCGTTGCAGTGAATATGACATTGCCAAAGTAACCGGGTGGCAGCGGGGGGCGCAGCCTCGATCTTCCATCAGTTGCAATGTAGAGTTTGGACTCCTGGTCATCAGCAAGTCCCCGCGCTTTGCAGACTGATCTCCAGACATGACCTGACAACATCTCGTAAGAGCTATAGTTGATGGTGTTCCCCTCCTCCTTGGACTTGGCCTTGAGAGCATTGAGCTGGTCACGTGACAGCTTAAAAATGGAGACGGTGGTGTTGTCAGGGCCTGCTTTGGAAGGATCGACAGGGTTCTTCATACTAGGGGGAGGCTGGTATTCGACGTGATGGAACGCTGGCTGAGGCGGGTCGCGAGCACGGAGAAGGGTACGATCAATGAAGGGTGGAATGGTGAGGTCAAGACCACGGGCCATGTCGGACCATGCATTGATGAAATGAAGACCGGAGAATCCGTCTGCCACATGGTGCTGCATGCCAACTCCAAGGGAGGCTCCGCCGCATTTGAAAAAGGTAACCTGATGAGCAAACGAAAGCATCCCTAAGAAAATCGCGACATGGGCATTACTTGTTGAATCAGGTCAAAGAAGATGGATGAATTCAGACAAAAAAAAAGGGTCAGGGAAAAGAACCTGGAGAACGAGAAGCGGGTAGGAATCGATGGGGCCGGAATAATCAACAGTGGGGATAAGCTGGCGGAGGAGGAGAGTGGGAGCGAAATCGCCAAAGTCGTCGATGACGGAGGGGGTGTCGGCGAGAACGAGGAGGACGCCGGCAGCGTTGCATAGGATCTCGACGCGACCATCGTCGTCCCGCTTGAGGCGACCGGCCATGGGGTAGAAAGGGACAAGGGCCTTGGAGAGGGCTTCCTTGAGGATACGGGGATCGAAGAAATTGGAGGCGCCGGTGGGTCGGTAGAAGTAGACACTATCCATAATTATTTGTTGACTCAAATCGCCAGCAATAGCCTCATGGTCCGGAATTCGAGCCACATAATCAGCCATCATTGGATGGATAGATCGATTGTTGGCTGGTAATATTATCAACTTCATAACTTCCACAAAACATTCGCAAATAATTATTTCTTAAAACAAGTTAAGAATACCATATATTTTAATCGTATTGCTAATATTTAGTGATAAATTAATTTTTAGATCTGTCTAACTTTGAACATATTTGAAAAATAGAAAGTACATTTGGGGAATTAGATATGGACTAAAGATCCCAGCTAAGTTGCTTGAATTTGATCAAACAAAAGAAGAGATTTCATATATTTTTCTTCTCAATGAAAAAACAAATATCAATCTTTTTTTATATAAAATATCGCGCACCCTGTTTTGAATTTAAAATTTTCTTAAAATTGTAACGGACCTTGTTTTTTAATTTAATTTAATTAGTCATAGAACCGTTACAAAAAAAAAATTATAACGCCTCAAATTGAACTGTAAATATTTACAAAACGGGTAAAAAACAACAGAAGTGAAAACAGCCAAAATTTGGTTGCAAAAGTTGTAGATACCTTACAATAAAACAATATTACTATGAAACTTGAAAACTGAAATGTAACACGTGTTTCTATCATTCAGTCTCTTTATAAATATATATATATACATATACATATATACACACATATATATATTCTTTGTTGACAAATTAATCATTCGAATCAATGTTATATGAATTCAAACCTAATGGACAAATCGAGCAAGTCACGTTATATATTGTGCATGGATTTTTAAAAATTGAATGAAAATTTTCTTCCCAAGGATTCGGCATGCAATGATGGAACCTACTATGTTGCAGCATATATATATATATATATATATATATATATATGGCATAAACTATATATGAAAGTATACATTTTACAATCAAACACGAAACAGATGGAATATATTTAATAACGCAATCACGGAATCAATCATTTGATTAATAATCAAAATAAAAAAATTAAATCGTATAATTACGGCCCTGGTTTCTTCCTGGGGTTGAAGACGAGGTACGAACGTTACGCGCCTATCGTTCCCCTCTCGCTATCTCTTTTACACACGCAAAAAGATAATTTAATTAATGGAATTAATCAGTGTTAAATTATACAATGGATGAATTAATTTAGATTTTCAGTATCTCAATTCTCAAGTGTAAGAAAAGATTATATGGTTTTAGGGGATAATAATAATAATAATTAAAAAAAATAAATAGAGTGAAAGAAAAGGCGTAGTTGAAGGGATTTAGATTTATTAAGATTAGTTGTTTAATAAAGTCGGTCAATTTGTTCATTGCTGTTTTTTATCCTAACCCTTTCATAATTTTTTTTATAATGAAATCTTCATTTGATTTGGTTTATTAATTTGAATCCTTAACAAACAAAAAAAAAATATTAGATAAAAAGAAATGGTGTTAATAGTATTTATGTCATAGATATGAACGCATACATATATATATATATATATATGTGTGTGTGTGTGTGTGTGAGCATGTGTGTATAATTGTAAGTGATTGTGTTATGAATCTATGATTATAATTTACAAAATTATTTTATCTTACATTCCTAAAATATACACAAATATACCATACAATCTTTTAAAATACGATATTATTTTAGTGATGCTCCATTTTACTAAGTTTTATTTTCATCATTTATATATATTTGTTTTGTTATTTTTTTCATTTTCATTCATTTTAGATGTGATATAGATTCAATTAAATCTATTTCTTTTAAAAACAGCCAAATTTTGACGTAGTATTTTTGTATTTATTAGAGAATAGCATCTAAACAAACTGAATCGTGGAAAAATGCAAAAAAAAAAAAAAAATCCTAAACTGTAAAATCCACAGGCTCGTGGCGGGCGTCTCCGCCGCCGGCCGAACCATCGTCGACTCCCGCACGTTGATCTTCATTGCTCCTGGATTGAATTCCCAAGCACACGAAGCACTAAATAGGAGATAGAGAAGAAGGCAGCAAGTCATCCACTAAAGCTAACGTCGCATCCCTCACCTACCGCCCTCCCTCCTTTTCTGGATTTTAAAACAAATTAAGAAGAAATCACCCACCCTCACACCCGTTCCGCGGGTCCCATCGGGGTTGGTGAACCACATCGGCTGGGGTTGGTGAAAGTCTCTCCAGTGGATCAAGCCCATTACCGATGTTTGGAGGCCCATTAATGATGTTTGGCGGCCCATTAGCGGTCCTCTTGGTTGGAAGGTATATTTTTAAAACGAATATTGAATTCGATAAAATCACTCATGCAATTTATACTGAGAGAATGGCTCTCGTAAAAAAATTTAATCTCCTATAATTTTTATTATGAGATTTTCTATTTCATTCTCTACCTAAACCTAGCTTTCATAGTATGTAAAATGCTGCATAAATCTTCATCAAATCAAATAGGCATAAAAACATTAAACTTTTAAAAAAAAATATATGGTAAAAAACTCAACATGCAAATTCACGATAAAACTTTTAAATTTGTTTCCAAACGCGTTATCGAATTTTCTAACGTCTCATAAACTACGAATGCACCAAAATAGTGACGCGGCAAACAATTATAATGTCCACGTCATCGTAACCTTACCACATCAACTAAAAAAAACATATAAAAATATAGACATGATAATGTGGGACGAGCGGAGGGGATGGGAAGGTTACGATGCGTTATGATGCTGGACTCAAACATGGTTATCTTTCCCCAAAGTCATAGTATGAGATGTGTTAACCAAACATGCTAGCAAATAAGATTCTTCTTTCTATATATAAAATAGAGTTACAAATTCCCAACAAAGAGATACAACGTATGATATATATTATATATAATGAAGGGAGTGGTATAAATTAATTAGCGGGGAGAGAAGGGGAGGGGTGCTGAGGAAGAGGGAGGTGTCCCATTTCTTGCAAGCTCCGGACGGTGTCGTAGAGGGACTGCCTCACTGGCACGAATTCAAGGCCCAGCTCCCTTATCTTGTCGTTGCTGAACTTGTAAGGCTTGACTCTCGGGTTCTTCTCGTCCGAGCACCTGCCGTAATATCATTAAACAAAAAGAGCAGATTGAGGAGTAGGTGTGTATACGTTGCTTGCACGAAAGGGAGGGCGGGTGTGCCTACTTGGTAGGAATTGGGTACTCGGGGAAGAATTTGGAAAGGATGTCCACAACCTCTCCGCGGTGGAGAGAGCTCTCTGCGCAGATGTACCGGCCAGAGGCAGAGGGAGACTCGAAAACAAGAACGTGGGCTAAGGCTGCGTCCTCCACGTGAACATAGGCCTGAGCCAAGTTGGCATAAGTCTTTGCTGAGCCAGTCAAATACTTGAGGATGTGAACTGTGCTTGCGTTAACCGTGGGCTGCAGAAGTGGGCCTATCACCAGCACCGGGTTCACCACCACCAGATCCACTCCTCTTTCCTTCGCCACTTCCCACGCCACCTGTTCCGCCACCGTCTTCGCATAGCAGTACCAGTTCTGCCGATATTGCCATCGTTTTACATGCCTTGACATTTGAAGGGAATGTGTGTGTGTATATATGTGACGGGTGGGTACCTTGGTGTTCTTGCAGTAGTCAAGATCACTCCAGCAGTGTTCATCAACAAGGCCATCTGGATCCCTGTTGGGGTTCATGTAGACTGTCCCGATGGAAGATGTGAACACTGCCCTCTTCACTCTAGCTTCAGCAGCTGCCTCTATCACGTTTCTTGTCCCATTCACCGCCGGCTCCACCATTTTCTCCTTTTATTTTCATATATACACAAATAATTAGGCCTAATATGGATAATTAATATTTAAAGAAAAAAACAGAGATACAGACCGGATCATCGGTAACAGGAGAGGCGGTGTGGAAGACGCCATGGCAGCCTTGGATTGCTTCCTTGAGACTTTGGTAATCAAGAAGGTCGGCTCTGCACAAGGTCAGTCTCTCCTTTGCTCCTTTCAGCTCCATCAGATGAGCATTTTTTGGATCCTCTGCGCTCAAATGTCATGTTCATTGCCTTGTTTCTATGGACAAATTCGATCAAACATGTATTATAAACAAATAAAAAGAAACCTGGATTGCGGACAGTTCCTTTGACGGTGTAACCTCTGTCGAGAAGGAGCTTAACGAGCCATGAGGCAATGAATCCGCCAGCGCCTGTCACGCACACCGTCTTTCCTGATGATGACGACGACTCCTCAACCCCCATTCTCTTCCCTTCTTTTTGTAAACACAAACACGAATGACTTGCGATGGCTTCTTCTGGCCATTGTATTTATAACCAAAGTCCACCTACCCCCACTCGCAAAAGTCCATGGAGATGTACGACTACCTGGGTGTCAACTTTAAGTTAGTCAATATTTGTTGATGCAAGAATTTTTTTTTTTATTCCGACCAGTGGCAGAGAACAAGAAAGTTTGATTTCACATTTTGAGGCCTGCTTCCCAGAAGCCTATTCAAAATTTCACGGCCAGTTGGGATGTTAGGTGAAGTCAAATGAACCGCGTGCTAAAAATCCGTCAATCTTCAAAGTTCAACACAGATCGTGCGTACAGTGAACCAGTTCGGTTGTATGGGCGATTTCCCTGCTCATTTGGGCCTTCTCTGTTCTAGTTGAATCTATATATATATATATATATATATATATATATATAAATAGACATCACATGTTTAACAAGAAAATATCGTTTATAAAGTCAGACCACCAACAAGCTAAGAATCATTACAATTCCAATGTCAACAAAAGCTTTGCATCATATAAAGGACAAGCACAGCTGACACATGCTTGGTTGGGTTTTCACGAAGCAGTTGCCATCGATGCCAAATCCAACTCTTCGTCAGAATCTATCACGTCTTGGTAGTCATAATATGCATTGACCTGAGTTGCAAAACGGGTATTATCACAAGGCCGGCAGTTTTCCTGAATGGGTAAGTGAATAAATAATACATGGGTGGTTCCTGCTCGCTAAAACTGCAGCACATACCTCTGGTCTGGGTGTAACAGCTTCAAAACTTCTGAACAGAGGAGCATCAAAATCAGGGGGCTGCAACACGATGTATGCCCCCTTGTTTTTGTATCTCTCCTCGGTTGCCTGTGACATGAAGATTTTCAGATGTCTATCTAACTCTGATTTTCATATTGATGATTATGAAACAAAAAACATAAGAGACCTGGAACTGAGGATAATCTGGTGCACTGAACAGAGTAATCAGCCTTCCAGATTCAACATCATGATCTACTGTGTACCCTTGATCCATTCCAGCAAGACCAGGCCTCTTCTCTCTTGCATCAGGGCCTTCATGTGATCTAATGATTAACTGTGTCAACAAGAGGCATAGTGGTATGTCATTCTTACACAAGGCATGGCAACTAGCTTTTCAAGGCTGTAATCAGCATCGGAACAACTCATCCTATAGTATGATTATGTCCACCGGAAGGAACATAGCACACAACTTGCTTTTCATTTGCATCAAGTTTCTTCATCTGTTACCCAACAGTAAAAGAGAAGCAGAGAGGTGGTTTGGCTGTCACCTTTAGTTTGAACTTGTTCAAGAAGTCCTCCGTACAATCAGGACCCCAGAGAAGACCAATGCCTCTCTCTTTGTTGGGTGAAAGGCCGGGATCCATTGACGGGTCAGACCAGAGAACGTCCCCAGGAATCAAGTTCAAACCTTCCCAAGGAGGATCAAGAACTGACCTTCGAGCTTTCAACAGCTCTTCCAAAGTACCAAGAGACAATGAGGATGATTTCTTTCTCCCCTTTGATCTCTTAGAAGGGGGGACAGTGGTGCTGCGAAAGAGCCCTCCATGAGCTGTATAGACACGCCCAGCTATTATAGAAGCCAAAGGGAGGCCTTCAAAGCATCCCAGGCATTTCCGGTAGACATGCTTTCCTCTGTCACCGTATTTCGTAAGCACTTCTTTCTCGAAGCCATACACAGATGTGCAGTATTTGGATTCATGATTTCCACGGAGAAGGTAGACCCTGTTAGGCATCAATACCTGAATGCCCCAACATCCATGTTGCAAGTCGTTTTGGACACCCAAACAAGGCAAACATACATAGACAAGTTGTAGTGGAAGAGGAAACAGCTAAGGGCTCAATCACTTTCCAAAGGTAAATTCAGCATCAGTTCAGAAGAGTAAGAGAGAGAGAGAGTACCTTCCAGGCTAAGAGGAGGAGGAAGGTCTCCAGGCCCCAAGCACCCCGATCCACATAGTCGCCATTGAAGACAAAGAAGCGATTATGACAAGGGAAGCCGGCGTCTTTAAGGAGGAAGAGGAGGTCGTGGAGCTGGCCATGAACGTCGCCGACCACCACGACGGTGGAATCGGAATCGAGGTCGTCGATGTGGACGCAGTTAGGCTCCTTATGGAGGATCTTGGAAGCGATGAGGATGAGGGAGTCGAAGACATGGACGGGCATGAGAGAGGGGAATTGACAAGGCTGGAGATGCCTGGACGACCAATCGAAGCTCGACATAAGCCCTTCAACCCACTCGACGGTGAGGCAGCCGCCGGGCGGC